GCTGACTTAATTATTAATCTAGATTGCAACAATCATAATAATTATCATTTATTAGGATGATTTAAAATCAAAATAATCCCATAATAACTATCATACTAGTCGCTGAAGACATAATAGCTATTATGCTCATGCAATCATACAAGTTATGCAACAATATGGCACCACCTATTCTATATGGCATGTTATCGCAATAAAGCATGTTATCAATCATATAATTTATACCAATCAATAAAAGCATTAAACAATAAATCATAATTACTTTAATCCATGACCTTCCTATTTTAAAGAAAATAAAATTAAATAATACAACTTTGGAATTCGACTTTCGCCTAGCCCATAGTATCTGTCCCAAGCCCCTTTAGGGTTTCATGGGCCCAAAGCCCAAAGACCCAATCCTTTGGCGAGAAACCCTAGGACGCGAAAGAGGAACCCTAGCCGTCAGGTCTGCCGCGCCGTCACCCGAAGTCAAATCAGGCCGAAACTCCAGGGGAAGGACTGCCACATAGAGACGAGTGCACCTCCGCCAGAACCACCCAAAAAGGTGGCCGGACGCTCCCTCACTCTCCCATTCTTTGCCGGAGAGTGGCGGCCACTCTCAGACGCTTGTGGAGGAGCGTTAAGACTCTGATGGCGGCGATCCATCTACCGTTGCGTTCGTCTTTCCGTCCTCTTTACAACCATATATAGATCGCCCCATTCCGAGATCGGGAAGTCCTCGAAAAGTCTCTGACAGTACTGACTGCGCATCTTACTCGCAGTTTCTCGATCTTGAACTTTTACAAAATATTGGAAAAATACACAGAAATTCCGAAAATAAATAAAAACAGCAAGGAGGAAACCTAATCATATGGGATTAGCCTCCTTGTTACAAATCGAGAAATACACGAGAGACCCTAACCATGGATTAAAGCATTTTTACTGATTAAAATTTAAACTTTTATGAAAATGAATTATAAAATGCACATGCTAGATTCATACCATAATCCTAGAACCCTAGGTGCCACATTTCAAGAAGCAAAACTAATTACATGAATAGTGAAACTAGATTCACATACCAATGTACAGCCAAGGCTCTGATACCAATTGAAGGAAATCTTAGATTTATGAGGAAGCGGTTTAGGACCTAGTACATTGGTATGCTTACCGAATCATCCTTGTTTCACAATTACCTCTCGGTGCGCAGGTCTCGTGTAGAATCTTCCCTTGTAGGATTCCTCTTCACGAACAGCTCACCTCAGCGCCGCAGCACGAACAACCTCCTTGAAGCTGGACTGTGGCAGATCTTCCAAACTTTGTCTCTTTCTCACAAAAAAGACCTCTGGAGGCTGATGACTTAAGAGGTACTATTTATATGGATTCCAAGAAACCCTAGCTCATTGGGCTCTAGGTTCCTTGGGCTCTTCTCATACTAATAACCCATTTGGGCTTTAGTAAAAGAGCAAACCCAACACTAGTTTGCTGTCCCAGTCAGCGAACTGTGTGCCAATTGACACATGGCAAGGAGTTCGCCTTCACCCCCAACGAACTAAGTTCCTGTCAGACACGTGTCACATCAAGTTCCCTGGTGATGGCAGCGAACTGTGCATGGGTGTCAGCATTTATTGCAACCAAGTTTGCCTGTGTCAGAAGCGAACTCCTGCACCACTGGGAAGCTGACACATCAACATACCTAGTTCGCTACTACTCCCAACGAACTTGCCTGCGTGGCAGTTTGGGAAAATAGTCCGTAGGTGTGGCATTTAGGTAAAAAAAGTCTTGGAACAATGGTACAATTGTCACTCTTCCAGTCTATAAGATGTTCCAGGGAGCGTTTTATACAATTTTTGTTTTTGTCCACCTCTAGAATTTGTCTTGAATGTATATACATATATTATTTCATTCCAAAAGCTATTGGTGTTGGAGTGCACACGTGAATACTTCAATATATATCTAACTCTCTATAGTAATAATAATAAAGAAATTTATTCATGAGAGTAATTTAATCGTGACGATTTATTAATCTTTCATATTTTGTTTTGGTTTATTTTAGTTGTGATGATTTGGTGATTCAAAATTCGTTTAAATTTAATGTTAAGGACAATAACAGAAATAATAATATAAAATTTACTTTTATAAGAGAGTTAGATGAACCGTGACGACTTGTTAACCTTACATATTTTATTTTGAATTATTTTTGCCGTGACGGCTTAGTGGTTCAAAATTTATTCAAATTTATCTTAAAATTTACGATAATGAAAATAATAACAAGAAATTTATTTTAAAAATATTATCTAAGTTGAGACAGTTTGTTAATCCTACAAATCTCATTTTGGATTATTTTGACAGTGACAACTTGATAGTCCGAAACCATCAAATCCAAAACTTTCAAATGGTTTTCTTTAAATTTATATTCAAAATTAAAATCAAATCAACACGCAAATATTTTTACAGAACGACGTAGTTTTGAGTTCGCTATTGTGCCGAAAGATACGTCAGAGCGAGACGCTTCCCGTCAAGCACAAAAATGAATTTACAAAAATTTAGTTCTCTTTTCTTTAATCAATTTTATTTAATTTTTTAGGGTGAAATAAAATATTAAAATCTTATTAATAATTTGCACAAATAATATAAAAGGCAACCATTTGCACAAATCTTATCGTAATTCGACTCTGGAATCCATCATTTCTGATTTCAAAACCAATTATTTTTAATAAAAAAAATTTCTAACGTTTTCCTAAATAAATTTTGGTGGAATCTTCGAAAAAAAGAAAGGGGTGAAGATGAGTGGTGACTCTGGTTGACCGAATGGAAGGAAGAAGATGGATCTTGGTGTGAGGATGGCTGGTCCAGTGGTGGCTTCCGACGAAGTGGCTTGAGGGAGGATGAAGGACGATGGGGAACCGGTGGTGGTTGGTGAAGAAGTGATGGTGGCTATGGAAGCTTGGGCTAGAGCGTGGCTGAACGGTGAATGTGTTTGGAGGATGTGGGTGGAACGGTGGAGGTTGAAGGAAATCGGTGAGGAAGACAAGGTGGTGGTCCGGTGTGAAGATCTGGGTCTGTGGTGGTTGTCCGATTTGGTTGGAGGAAGAGGTAGGGCTTAAAATACATCATAATCAAATTCTAAAATTAATTGTCCAAGTAAAAAAAATAAAGTACCAGATAAAAACTATATTATTTTAGGGTAATACTTCTCTCATTTAACATCAGAGAAGTTTTTTCCTACACTAACAAGAAATGTGGAGCCACAAATTAAAGAAAAAATAAATTGCAAGCATATTTTTTTTATGTATTAGTAACATGAGATAGAGAAAACAATTTTTCCATTATTTTATTACGCGTCAAAGTTAAAAAAAAAAAAATTAGTTGCGGAAGCCAAAAGTTTATTATAATAATTCCTTAAAAAAGGTTATGGTATATTTGCATCTAAATTTTTTAAAGAATTATCTATTAATAAGTGGATATTCAATTTTATAACTTGAAAAAACTCAAATAAAAACACGTGAAGATAATTTTATAAAAGGAATAAACTATGACATTAATTTTATTCAAAGATAAAATTTGAATTCCGGAAAATACATTATCCTGAAAAATATGTAAATTACGCATTAAGAAAAAAATCTCAGATATTTACACATGGACCTATTATTTAGCATGCACAAGTCAAGAAATCTAACTCAAATTTAAATATTACTAGTTTATATATTACTATAATTTCATTTCATTAAAAAGTTAATGATTGTTCCATGTTGTTGGGCTGCCCTTATTTTAGCAACATCAATAATTACAGAGATAGCCGTTGGAAATTATTATTTATCTATAGTTGGTTGTGATTTGTCTGCATTTATATTTTGTTGATACAAATTCAAACCACTTTAAAAAATCCTACTAAACTTAGCATCAAAATATTTGTTAAAATAATAATACAGAAAAATATTTCTACAGTTAATTTAATGCAGATAAATTATTTATATTTACTTTTAAAATAATGTCATTTTAGAATTAAAAGATTAAAAAATTATAATTATAAAGACTATAATAATCTTGAAATAAATTAAAATTACAAAAACACCATGATTTTCGCCCAAAATAAAGTCGTATTGAACTTATTGTAGAAAACTTATCTGTAGTAATCGCAGAAAAAGTGAACTCATAATAATATTAAAATTTTATTTTTGTATGACGTTAAATTGTTTTTGAATAAATCTTTTGGACCATCAATAAAGTTATTTGTTTATTTAAGAAAGGTAAAAGTGTTTGTCATTTTAAACGACAGAAAGTTATGTCATTTTAAGATAAATACAGACACAGAAAATTTGAATTTTAAATTAAAAAAAATCACTCACTTTCTCTATGTCTTTTAAGAGAGATACAGACACATTTGAATTTTATGTTCGTCTCTCTCCCATGATTTCTATTCTTCTGTGTCTATCTCTCTTCTAAAATGACATAACTTATGTCATTTAAAATGACAAACATCAAACCCTTTAACAAATATACAATTTAAGCTTTTCTCAATAGTGATACAGAAAGTCCACACGTAACCCCTCACAAATAATAGTAATAATAATGTAAAAAGAGAAAAATATATATAGGAAAGAAAATAAAGGAAATAGACGTTGGGCTGTCATAAATAATTCAATATTGTGAATTAAATGCATAGTGGGACCCACTCAAAAAATTAAATTGGATTCCATGTATATGCTATTGTTTTCCGTTGATACAAAGATTCTTATTCTAAGAACCATAATCTAGAAAGGATCGTGTCTAATAAGTCAATATAAATGTTTTGGTAAAAAACCCAACGTTCATTTTTTTTCTTCTTCCATGTGCCACTAATATTTGAATGGGTATAGGTATCATTCTGAATAGTTTAATCTCTGATTCATATTCATTTCCAAAGCAACAGAGTTGGTGTCACACATTTGAGTGTTCTAATCTAAGAGTGAGTGAGAGAGAGAGAAAGGGCAGAGAATTGTTTGTTAACTGTTTGAGTTTTTGTTTAACTGTGTTTGTTGCGCGTTATGGGTGAATCATCAACATGTCTTGTGCGATCGTTCTCCACTCCCGCAGACACTTGTTCTAAAGAGGTGAGTTTTTTTTTTTTTTTTTTGTCTCAAAATCTCAACTTTCACACGCTTCTGTTCTGTTTGTCCGAAACCCATCTCTTCTTTTTTTGTGGGTATGTTTTGTTACTGAGAAATGGTGATCTTCTATGTTTGGTGTTGGTTGTTGAGAAACCCCAAACCGAAAGTGGTAAGAGGTTAGACTGTCTGTAACTGCCGTGTTTTGTTTCGAATTTAGATTTTAGATTGCATTTTCTGATTTCTCCTATGAGGATGGCCCTTCTGCAACTTAACAATTCTGTTAAAGCGTTACTATAATTACTATATATATATATATATATATATATATATATATATTTGTGATGACGGATTCGAATCTAGAAAACAACTCCTTGAAAAAATGCAAGGGTATTACAAGGGTTGCGTACGATGATTTCCTCGCCCGCACCACAAGTCGGGTTTGATGGAAGTGTTTTCTATATACATATATATATTATAGTGCACTTCTTACATCTTGATTTTTCATTCCAATATTGGTTGGTAGTTTCCTTTGCCAAAGTTCTGGGTTTTCCTCTAATTCCACCTCACGTTGCTCTTGTCGAGAATAGGAACCACGAATGGGTGTTGATGGCACTGGTAAATCCATGAATGTTATCCTTCAATTAAGGATACTTTTTTTTTAAATGCATCTATATGAAAAATTTTAATTTTCTTTTCCAGTTTTCAGTCTATGATGACTTGCCATATTTATTAGTGTGTTTTTTTCTTCCTATTTTTTTTTTTTTTTTTAATTCTAGGAAAACCCCATTCGTATGCTTGGAGAATCTATCTCTTTTGGGAGGTTTATGTCCGAAAGCCTTGATTGGGAGAAATGGTCAGCATTCTCACAGAATCGTTATGTAGAAGAAGCTGAAAAATATTCAAAGCCAGGTTCTGTTGCTGCGAAAAAAGCCTACTTTGAGGCTCATTACAAGAAAAAGGCTGCGGAGAAAGCAGCTGCATTGATTGAAGAAGCAAATGCTCAAGCCAATGGAACTTTTGATTCAGAAACTCAGGAAGGAAACTGCATCGACTCGTCCCTGGAGATGAGGTCGAAAACTGACAACACTGTGACTGCCAATGAACAGCTGGATAAAGATACTGTTAATTTCCAAGTTGTTGATTGTGCTAATACAAATCAATCTAAATGTGACATTGGACAAAGTGATTTTGACATTTTGAATGTGGACAGAGCAAAGGATGTGCCACATCCTCGCATTGATACAAATCTTAATGTGGAAAACTGCATGCTTGTTGATAATTCTAACCAGTTTGATCATGTTGAAGTCCTTAAGAATATCGCGGTCCCAGTAGAAGAGAGGATGACTGATCCTGTAAATTCTTGCTTTCTTTCTTTTTTTTATATCTAATTTCCTTTTATTTCTTCAATTGAGTAAGTTTGTAACTGTGGCCATTCTATACATTTATGGTAATGATGCTGTAGGGTACTGCTGGTGAGGAAGTCTTGGCTTTGCCTCTCAAGGGAAAACAAGTAAATTCTTCAGAAGAATTATCAAACAAAACTAGGGCTGCCACGAAACTTACTCATTCTCTTGATAAAAAGAAGGCTGCTGCATCTGTACCACCCAGAAGTGGAACAAACTGTGGTTCAAAAAGTAAGAAGCTTGTTGGAGACTCAGCTGAGAAGAAGAGACTAACTGCAGGTTCGGTCCACATGTCAATCAATCTTCCCGGTGGGGCTGGTGAAAAAAGCAAAACAGTTGCTGCAGCTGTACAATCCAGAAATGGCATAAACAGTTTTTCAACAAGTAAGAAGTCTGTTGGAGGCTCAGTTGAGAAGAGAAGAATAACTGCACAGTCACTTTACAAGTCAATCAATCTTCCATCTAGCACTGGTGTAACAAGCAAAACAGCTACTGCTGCTGTTAAACCCAGAAATGGAATAAACCATGCTTCAAAAAGTATGAAGTCTGTTGGAGACTCAATTGAAAAGAGACCAGTTGCAAGGTCACTGCACATGTCAATCAATCTCTCTTCTGGCGCAGGTCAAACAAGTGAAACAGCTTCAGTGTTTGAACCTAATAGAACAAAAAATATTCATTCCAATTTGGTCAATATTTCCAAAAATCAACATGTGTCATCACAGACATCAACTAAGGTATTAACTTATTACTTATCCCATTTTTTTAATTTTTTTTTTTGTATCTACATTTATGCCATGGTTTTTTAAGAACAAAATACACAATAATCTCGCTGGAAAATTGTGCTGGTTGATAAAGATTTTTTTTCCCTTTCTTCTTCAGGCATCTCATGGTTTGTTAAATCAAGCCTCAGCAAATCCCCCTTCTCAGGGTAGAAGGTATTTTGTCTTCCGAACTTTTTTTCATTTATCTGCTAGAATACCTTCCTAATGATCTAGGCTTCTGCTGCATGCAATGCATCATTAGAAAATATCACTGACATGATCAGATTTGTCTTTGTCAGGACTGAAAGACTACAAAACAAGTCTGTGTTTGGAGGTGTTACAGCAAATGCAAAACTTTCCTCCATTTCTGTTGAGTAAGAGCATTTTTCAAGCTGCTAATATATTTTAATGTGCACTTTGTGGATTGATACATGTAAATGTAATCATTTTAGGAGCTACAGACTTCTCCTAATAAGCATGCTTCACTAGCTTTATTATTTCAAACACTTTACAAATTCGAAATAAAAAATTCAAACGTGCATAGAAATACGCAAGATCTTATTTATATGTTTTCTTTTTTCCTTCATGAATTTGGGAACAGCTGCCTGAAACCTGCAAGCATCACCAAAAACAGTCCAAGAACTCCTACCATATCAACACCTTTTAGATTCAGAAGTGAAGAAAGAGCAGTAAAACGCAAAGAGGCAAGTTCTAATCCTTGTCCCTTACACTAGCTCTGCAATTTATTGCAACACTAAAGCTCATACTAGCTTTTCCATTTTTGTATTTCAGTTCTTGCAGAGGATGGATGAAATTAAATCCAAGGAAGAAGAGAAAGTTCAGCTGCAAAGGACACCCAAGGTGAATAATTTTATTATCCTATTGCTAGTACAATGATTTACCTTGTTTCATTCTAAAGTATATATCTATTCATTTTGGGACCGGCTTTATGACCTTCTTTGATTCCATTGACCTGTCAGTTCCACGTAATCTGTGAACCATTAATCTCTGTGGATAGATTCCTACCTGGAGATTCTTTTTTTCTCGTGATATATAATGTTGTCCTTGCTATTTTCTTTGATTCTGGGAGATGTTCTTCATTTTCAACATTGAATTTTATTTATTTTTATTCTTTTCCAGATCTCTATTACCCTGCCCCGGTCACCAAAACTTGTGAGGAAAACATGTTCTAGTACAGTCCAGGACAACAACAACTTTGGAAATTCATGGAAGCCTCCAATTAGCACCAATAATTCCAAACGTATTACAGAAAAAATTAACCGAACAAGACAATCAGTAACTGCATCATCAAATACAAGAGAAAATGCGTCTCCAAATATTCAGCACTGAGAACATATAAAGGGTTCCCTGAGCCTGTGTTTGAAGAACATGCTGTCAAAGGCAGTAGTCTGAATTGATCCAGTTGAGCTTTTGATCATCATATTATTAAACAGTGGTGAAAGAGTATACTGTGCTTATGATCTGATTATAAGAGGATGATTAGGATAGTATATGTCCTAATGTGTTTTCACATTTTGAAGTGAAATTTTGTAGTCTTTAAAAAAAAATTGTATTTATATCAGAGTTAGGAGCATATCAGAGTTAGAAACAAGTCTGTAACTAAGCTAGGTTTAGGCTATCTACGTAAAGGGAAATAAGGGTCTTTGTATAATCTTAAGTTGCATTACTTTTTCTGGATAAAACTACCTTTGTATTACTTATTAAAAAAAAATTACCTTTGAGCAATAATCTATAAAAAGTGATACTAAAGTATGATTAAAATTCCCCATGTGTTTGGCCGGAGGGAATATATCGTTTGAGCAATAATCTAACTAAATCTTTCCTACTTTAGTCTTATCTGTAGCCAGACCAAATAATAGTTGTCATTTGAAAAATATTCAGTCCTTTATACTTTTGGTCAACACGAAGTTACAATGCATACTTTTGAAAGCAAGTACTGGAATAAAATAAAATAAGAAGGATGCAAGCTTATTAATTAAGCTTAATATTTATATCATCATCCACTTTTATACATGCTGCATTTTCCAAATTCTTGATGATTGGAAAAAGAATAACCCAACCCTTTGAAGTTGATATTCTTCAATAATAGATGAAGACATGTAGTTAGCTACAAGCAACTACAAGCATTAATAAATTGTCCTTTCATGCATGAATTTTGATTTTTGTTGAAGATGCAAAAAAGGGCTGGGCTGATCATGCTATGAATAGACCTTGATCTATTACTAAATAATCTGCTGAATCGTATATGTGGTTTGGAACTTCAGTGATAAGCCCTGGATCATAATACTCACACATCCCTATATTCTGCAGACCAAAGTTCATATTATAGCATTCACCTTGTAGCTGATAGAAATGTAAGTCCTCATCCAAAGGTGCAGAAGCTGCCTCACCTCCCAAAAGTAGGTTTCTTTGGTAAAACTCCATATCCAAAATGGAACTGAGATTAGATCCCTGCGTTTTCAACCCCAAATTTGTAGTGGAAATTGGTTCTGAAGATTGACCATTGATAATAAGGCTTCCGGGTTGAATAGGAAAGGTGTCAACTGCACTCCCTTTTGAACTCACAGAACTTGTGTAATCACTCTTGTAATCAGAAAACAAAGGTTTTGTTTCTATACAAGCAGCAACCTCTTCCTCCGTTATAGAGGGAGTGGAACTAATTGAAGCAATTGATTGTTGTGATTGATCAACTTGGATGTGATGCTGCTTAACATGTAATGGCATGGAGCATTTCTGGAACTTGTGTTCTTTTTTGAGTTGCATTTCTGGAACTTCAGTCCAAGAGTACTGTGTTGGCATGGTGCAATCAAACACTGCATGGTTTGTATCAGTAATGTTACCAGTGAAAGCTCTTCCTTTTTCTGCCGTGGTGGACTGTGAAACAATTCCCTTGGGATCACCTTCATGACTTTTACTTTCCATGCTTTGAAGTTGTGGTGTTCCATCTGAATAACTGTAGCTGTCAATTGAAATATCATTTTGTTGCTTGTTTACCGAGTTCTGAAAGCCAAAACTTGCTAGATCTTTTGAAGGTAAATCTGAATGCTTCATTCCACTTGAGGAAGATTTTAGATCGTTTTCTTTCTGAAGCCTACTCAAGTAAAGCCGGTATTTCTGCAAAACAAAAATATTTTTATTGGGAACCTGAGTTTTAAACTTCTAACTCAAGGAACAACACTGAGACAATTTTTTTTCCCTCTCCTATTGTTTTGCTTTATTAAGTTTACTAAAGGATCTGCATCTAAGTTGTAATATTTCGAAGAAACATTTGTACAGGACCAATGGTTTGGAGGTTACTAGAAACAGCTTATGGATGAGACATAATCACGGATACAGTAAGAAATATTAAAAAAACCAGATGCTTATCTGAATATAAGATATTATACATGTTTCTTTCTCAATAGTGTAAGGATAACATTCAAGTAGTGTAATTATAGCATCACCTGCAAGTGGCTAGCAACATTTTCTCTAGTCAGCCATGGAACATTCATCAAATCTAGTATTTTCTTCGGACCAACTTCTGCCAAACAACAATTATTTGTTACAGATAATCTGTGTGTGAAAGATATGATGATGACTACATTAACAAAAGGATTATGCTCGGGAGTCACAATTTTATTCATTGAGGTACCTCTAGGTTAATCATAACAACTAGATTTATAGAAGTCACAGTGTTGATTACAAATAACACTTTGTAGAGAACCTTGATAAGAAACTTACTATCAAATCCAATCTGATTCACTGCTTTAACAAACTTCTGATGAAGATCTACAGACCAAACTACTCTAGCTTTCTTTGTGGAAGATGGATCCAGAAATTCTATGTCATCATGTTTGTTATCTACATCTTTTCTTTTCTTCGTTGAGGTCATATCTTCTATAGCAAACAGGTTCCCATCATCAGACTGCTCTGATCCATTTCTCAATAAGTGAATGCTTTCAAAACTCTCAAAGCTTTCAAATTCTCTTGCCTCATGTATCCTTTTTCTAAAGACATGTTGCCATATATTTCGCAGCTCTTTCATCCTTATAGGCTTAAGGAGATAATCACATGCTCCATGTTGAACGCCTTTCATTACCCTGCTTGTTTCTCCATCCACAGACATCACTGAATAGCATTGCAAAGTTTGACTTGTCAGAGTGTGGACTTTCAATTCAATGTGATCAAAGGATTACTATGATTATATCATTTAACGAAAAACTTGAATATATTATTGATAGAGAACTGACTGATGACAGGAAGATCCATCTCAAGTCCAACATGCTCAAGAAGTTTGAAACCATCCATGTCAGGCATGTTTACATCACTGATCACTATATCATATCCGTCCTTCCTTTCACGAAGCAAGTTTAGAGCATGTCTTGCTAAACAACATGTAGTCACTGAAGCAAACAATAGACAAGAGTCAAAATGATTAATCTAGCTGTCACTAATGTCTTGCATTTCAAAAACCACAAAAAAGATGTACAATTTCATTTATTCAGATTAATTCAGTTACTTGCTATATTTCTATAAGAATTAACCTCAGATGCCACTGTGTAACGCCTTACAACTTGCAAGGATCAACGACTGTCCCCACACACTAACACGAGACTTTAACTTCCCAAGAGGTCACCCATCCCAGAATTGCCCTAAGTCAAGCACGCTTAACTATGGAGTTCTTCCGTTCCGGGCTACCGAAAAGTAGATGCATCTTGTTATGTATAGGTATATCAATTAATTCTTATAAGCTATTCCAAACTGTGCAGTCTCATACTTGCACAGTCTTTGGAATCCCTCTCTTTCGGGTGTCGATTCGATTCATTCATGCATGTAACCCCCCGCTGGAAGTCTGTCAGGAGCCGCTCCTTGTCTGTGCCTCTTTGCACCGACGATCACTCCCCGCCCTCGTTAGCGCTCGGGATGTTACACACTGCACCAACTATACTCTCACATTTAAGCTAGTACATGTTACCAATGGATGTGAGAGTGGATTACCAAAATGGCATATTAGTTCCAAAGATACTATATGCAATGCCAAAAATCAGGAATCAAATACGACATGGGAACTACTCCATGCCCTTATCTAGCTTTTTAATAGTAGCAGAGATTGCAGCATAGAACCGGAAGCTAATCATTTGATTATAACCCTGCTTTATCTAATAACTTTTGTGATCTGAACTTCGCAGCAATTCAAGTTTTTGATTATTGAAAAATTAAAAAGGATCATACTTTAAAATTTCGTAAGATTAATTTACCAAGTAAAAGATAAAATTAAACCAAAAAAACTTTTTAAAAGATGCAAAAAATAAAATAAAAAATGCTTATGTTTTGTTTCTTTTTCCTTTTAATCTTGAGACACATTCATTAGAAACTCAAGCATAATAACATCACCTTCACAACTCATCAAATAATAAAATTCAGAAAATTAAACCAAATCTGGAAACAAATGATCATAGACAACAGAGCAAAAGTGTCCAAGAATATTTTATATTAACTTTGAAGATCCTTAGTACGTGAAATTAATACCGGTAGCTTAGCATATATAACAAAAGTGGCTTTGTGTAGAAAGAAAAAAAGGAACCACTCTTGGCTGAAACAAACAAACCTTCATAATTGCACTTCTTGAGCATCTTTTCAAGGATCTTCAGCCATGTTGGATCATCATCCACGACGAGAACTCGCAGACCAGCAGGAAAATCGCGTCGAGGGGAAGGGAAACAACCATTATCCATTTTTGTGAGAGACAAAAGGATCACTTCTTCTGTTGTGAGTTCAGAAAATGATTGTGTTTTTGCTTGTTGGGTTTTAAGGTGAGTTAATAAAAAATAAAAGGAAAGACACAAACTCAAACACACACATTCAGAGAGAGAAAGCACCAACGAATAGTATATATCCCTTTTGGTTTGGTCCTACCTACAACTTCTGTGCTAAAATAGTAGGAACTAGGAACAGTGAATTATATTTTATTTATTTATTTCAAGAGTTTAATATTTCTCATATTATAATAGATAAAACTATCTCTTATATATACGTAAAAACATGTGAAGTCATATGAAAAGAAGAGAGAAAAAAATAGTTATAGACCCCATATTATATTTTTATACATGTAGAAGATAAAATTATCTTCTATAATATAAAAAGAGGAATGTTATATTTACAATTTTTTTGTTTACAAATTATACTAAGTATTATACTAAAAAAAAAGTATGACCGGTCATACTTCAATTAAGAGTGTATAACTGGTCATACTTAGTATAATTTATAAAGAAAATTTGTAAACGGATCATTCTCCGTATAAGAAATATTAAACCCTTATTTAATTGGAAAATGTGTCTCTCGTAATGAAATCTACTAAAAAAAAGAGAAAAAAAAAAGAATTTTACCTATTTTTTATAGATTTTATTAATCTTGTGTTAAAGGAGATAAGTTATCTCATGTGATAGAGATAAATTTATGGGCTCCACCACCTAAAAAAAGAAAAAAAAATGACACAGTTATCAAAGAATATATGTAAGAGGAAAAACTTTTGTCATGTAACATAAGAATAATTTTTTTTCATTTTTTATACGTGAAATAATTTGTCTCATATTTATCTTATGTTATACATAAGTTTAACGAAGTTTAACGGGGGTAAACATAGACACGAAAAAGATATACGTGACATGAGATGAGAGCTTGGCAACTTTACCGCCGAAAGATAATGGGAATTGGAGGGAGAGACTGCGTGGCTTTAACGAGTTTAGATTGAAAAAAATGACACTGAAGAAAAGAAAAGAAAAGAAAAAAAAGGCAAAGTGCACTGACGGGAAGATTGTTCAAATGAAGAAGGCATCTCGGGCTTGATAATATTGCAAAAGCTAACTCAGTTAATGTAACTCAGTTAATGCAAGGGACAATAAATTGTTACGGAAATATAAAAATTACGATCTTTACTTGCTAGCTTAAACTTTAAGGTGAGATAACTCTTAAAGGCGTAGCTCAGTTGGCAGCTGTTACAATGAGAGGCTAGCTCAAACGGGCCGTACCCCGAAAGCATAGTGTCCGGAGAAGGTTGAATGAAGATACCTCCTGGCAATGTACCCACAAAAAAAAAAAAATATTCAAGGTGAGATGATTGTTTATGATATTAAATTATAAGGTTATGAATTTCAACTTTACCGTCCCAATTTTTTAGTGGAATCAAATCATCGCATTAATGAACCTCTACAATATTGAGGTTTTTTTTTCGTAAGCATATTGAGGTTTTAAGTTCAAAGGTTCTTACGTAAAGATTGTTTATGACAAATAATAATTTTACATTCTACTATTGCTCACTTAGGATTATACTATGTAACATACATAAATTTAATACAAATATAATTAATATCAATCCGACGTGAATTTTTATTAGTGTTAGAACATTGAGTATAAATATGACTTCAAATTTAGGGATAAATTATTTTACTTATCTTTTTTTTTTGTCTAATTTTATCTACCACTCTCCAATACTATTAGATTAGAATTTTAATATGAGAGAAAAATGATTAAGGTAGTTGAGATTGTGATCTAACGATGTTGGAGAGTAATAGGTAAAGATAGGCCAAAAAAGATCTCCAAAAAAAAGGTAAAATAACTTATCCCTAAATTTCATTAATTGATATGACACAAATAATTCATAAATTGAAATGAGTTTGAAGTTTATTATATTATGAGAGATAAAATTATCCCCTATATACATATAAAAATATGTGAGACCAATGTGGAGTTAAGTTAAAAGAAAATAGAGAGACAAAAACATGGGCCCATATACTTTTATATGTGTATAGAAGATAAAATTATCTCATATAACATAAGAGATATTAAACTCTCTACAAATTTAATATTTCTTATATTATAAAAAATAAATTTTAATTTTTATATACACATAAAAATATACGAGATGATATTTTTTTTCTCTTCTCCTTGTATGATTCTACACGAGTCCTATTCAATCTTATATGTAACAATTAATCCCTCATTTTACTATGTTTATGAGCTTGGAGTGGGAAATGTACGGTTTACCTAGCATGAGCAAAAGCAAACCAAGAACCAAAAGCAGCTTCGGTTTGAGAAAAAAAAATTTATATTTATCATTTAATATGACACAAATTTTTTTTTACACACACAATATTTTGTGGGACTCATGTTTTTTAAATCAAAAAAAAAAAAATTATGACACGCAAAACAAATCTCTATAACATTACACAATCATTTTTCCTACGACATAACTCTTATAAAACCCTTAGAGAGTGTTTGGTACGCGGGATTCTTTAAAAATCCCGACAAACTAAATTTTTCTAAATTTTAAATCTTCGGATATTATCATAAACTGAATGTAAAAATCATATTTTTAAAAATTGAGATTCCCGACTAAAAAATCTGCCGAATGTCTCTTAGAAAAATGCATGAAACCGAAACTTATCAAGAAAAAGAAAGGGGACAATAAATGAAATGAAGACGACATGGCCTCTTGTTTGTCAGCTAAGAATTAAGATGGTATATTGGTATCTTTTTATAAAAACTTGGGGGGCAAAAAAGTCAGATGGACAACCTGAAAATCCACTCCATTACTGACAAAGTTTTGGTGGAAAGGCACGTGGAATGCATTTCAGTGACAAGATGGGAAAGTCGTTGGAGTGAAGAGCAATTGTTAGACATGCTCAACATCATTTGAACTTCGATCCAAAAGTGATTCCTATTGTCCATACCCCTCAATGGCTTGGATTCAAGGCTGTCGATATGAGAATTTTATTAAAAATAAATATATATTTTTTGTTCTCAATAAATTTTACGATGATTATTTTAATATCTAATAAATAAAAAAGTTATTCATGGTCTCTAAAAAATTTAAAATAGATTCATTTATTTGAAATCGTGATCCCTCACAAATTCAAAAAAGACTCATATTAATCCCTCAATGACTTGGATTCTTAGGGACCACAAATAGTCTTTTTATCTGCTAGAGACTAAAGCGGGCATCGAAAATTTAATGAGGACCAAAAAAGATACTTACTCTTTTATTAATGAATGATATATAATCTTTTCCAAAAATTTTAAAAAAGGTTGGAGGATCTTTCCTAAACCTAAAATTTTATTAATGAATGATATAAAATCTTTTTTAAAATTTTTAAAAAAGATTGAAGAGTCTTTCCTGAACCTAATAAAATATCATTATCGAATTCTGGTTTCAAAAAAATAAAAATAAAATATCATTATCTAACCTCTCTTAAACTATTGGTTTAGGCCATTGGTACAGAGTAACAAATAAATAAAGCACTCCCTTTCCCTTGTTGAACTGGACCACTAGTCTTCCTAGCCAATGTGCTTCTGCCATGCATTCTTGCTCCTTGGACTTGAGTTTCATCCCTGATTTCAGCAATTCAATCTAGAAAACCTTAAATAATGAAAGTGGGTGCATGAAAATATTTGTTATTTATCTCATGTTCAATACTTAGAAGTTGCAGGACTGAAATGAGCTCATTATTTTAGAATTAATGCAGCTTTATATAAGGTTTTGTTAATGTGTGTTTTTAAAAAAATACATATTAAAAAATAAAGAGAATCATTATTAAATAAAAATATTTAATATTTATATTTTTATAAATATTTTTAAAATTATTAAAAGAAATAATAACTTATACACACATGTTAACACACAAAAGAAAAAAATATACTTAATATATGTAACTCATATCCACCCTTTAAAGTTTGAGAAATATTTTTCTCAATATACATTAGAAAAGAATCTATCATGCACAACAAATAATGACAGTTTAGTTAATGTATGAAAATTGTGCAGGTAGGGTGAGATTTGAGAGTATATATTTAATTCTCTCTAGTATTATTTTTGAGAAGAATTTAAAGTCTTAATCATGGACCCGTTCCAAATTATTGTATATCCAAAAAAAATTCTCGCGTACACATACAAAAAATAGGTAGAATCAATTTTTTTTTTCTCTCTTTCCTCCTTAATGGATTTCGTATGTTGCATGGGATAGTTTTATCTTATGTAACATAAAAAAAAATATTCCCATTAGGGATATTTAGTATAAGTTTTTTTGGTTGAAGTGATGGAAAAGTGGGGTGAATTTTTTTTTTACCATGTTTGATATGAGTAAAAGTAAAAAATTCTCAGGATATTTTTTTCCCATCATTCGCATTTTTAACTACACATGGAAAAAATAATCTCATTTCACCCATAATATTATTTTTTCCCATCAACTGGAAAATGCATTTTCATATTTTGAGATAAAAATACTCTTATATAATATATTAGCAAATGTGTAAAAATAGATAATTTTGACATTTCGATTTAAATTTTCATCAATATTTTATCATCAACCACACATAACATTATTGAAATTAATCCGACTCTTCTAAAAAAAATTTGGCCTATCAAAAACCCATTTTCATAACTTATTTAGGAAAAAAAAAATTATCATAATTTTAAAAAAAATATCTCATCTACCATACGCTTTTAAACTTTAGGAGGCCATCTTGCTTTCCAACATGTAAATATTAGTTAATTGACAAAAAAAAAGTATTCGAACTAAGACAAAACACACTAACACAGAGAGAAAAAACATCAGTGTCAGGTAAAAAATAAAAAAAAATACCTGAAGGTCCTGTCGCCGTACAAGTGGTGCGTGTTTTCCACGATTTGTTATTAAATAATAAACCTTTCAAAAAGTAACCAAATGGGATATCAGTGGGGATCTTAAATTAATAAGAATTAGCTAAGTATCAAAAAGTTAAATTAATAAAAAACTTTAATATGTCTACAATAAATATAGATAAATTATTTATATTCATTTTTAAAATAATATCATTTTGAATTAAAAAATAAAAAATTATATTGCAAAAGACTATTATAAGTCTGAAATAAATTATAATTACAAAAATACATTGATTTTCATTCCAAAATAATATTATTTTGGGCTCAATGTAAATAACTTATCTATATTGACGGTAAAAAAGATGAATCCATAAAAAAATACTTAAACAAACTTATATTTTTAAATTTGTTTAATTCATTTATAATAGAAGATCTTTCTAGTATAGTAAAATAAAATTATAAATTACTCAATCAGAAAGTCTAATATTATATCATAAATAAAATATTTCAAAAGTTTAAACAATTGAAAAAACATATATTTTGGTTGAAAATTGAAAATTGAAAATTGAAACTCACCGTAAATACTTATTAAATAATAATGGAGGTTGCACTAAAGAAAGAAGGAGAGGAACACATAAACAAAACAACATCCAAAGGTGTCCCATTATGCCATCATATGATCTATAAAACCACATAGACCCATTACGTGTACCATAATGACGTAAGATTACCCAATCAGTGTGAAATGTAACCCAATTTTTATTAACATCAACTTAAGAAAAATAAAATAAAGTTGTTTACAACTGAGGCATAACAATCTAGGAATAGCTAATCATGTGCATTGATAGAGGCCACGATAAACCCCTACCAATAAAACATTTGAAGGCCATGATAGCTCCATTAAGGTGGCATCTGCTTTAAAACTATTTTAAACAATGGTTTATTCAAACCAATTATCACTTAATCAAGTTCCGTGACCAACAAGAGTTAATGCCATCTTCTTGTTCCTTCCTTCTTCTTTTTTAAGTTTTGGTACACAAACTATTTTGTTTACAAACTACACTACGTAGAACCGGTTTTACATCAATCACACAGTGTACGACCAGTATTACATTGGTGTAATTGTAAAAAAAATTTATAAACGGATCTTGTCCTTTTTTTTAATCTCACTCTTTGGTGGTGTTGATTCAAGGAGGGACTGAGATGTTCCCAAATCCCAACCAAACTAGCTTAGTTTCTCTTTCTATCTCTATTTGTATAGAGAAAAGTTAAGTTTTGAAGGTTTCACTATGAGGTTTGAGCTTTGAGCTTTGAGGATTTAAAGGTATGCCTTTTTGTGGAGTAGGGGTACGGAAGGGGTTTTAAAGAACTATAGTGAGAAAAATCTAAATGACCCTAAAAGGAAATTCCCACTAAGAAATTCTTTATGATAAAGGGGAATTATTTACACAAAGGAAAGGGTGGGGGGAGCCCAAGCATGATTAGAAACTCACAAAATAGAAAGAGGATCAACACCATGCAACTTCAGAGCTAAGTGGAGTATAGCTTTTCATTTGTTTAATGACAAAAAGTTAAGAAAATGGGTCTGCCTTATTCTCCCCCCATGATGCTTCAACACTTGCTTTTTACCTGTTTATTCTTTTTCTTTCTTTTTTTAACTTTTCATTGTTAAAATTTTCAGTGTTTCACTACAACACCACTGAGTGCAGGTGCCTTCTGGGCGTTAGTTGCCCGAGAATATCTAATTTGTAGTTTGTTTTTGTTTTTTGTAACTTCCTTATCTCAAAAAAAAAAAAAAAAATTCACTGTTTTGAATGGAACTGAGAGAGATGCTGAGTAATGCAATAGCTAGTTGCCTTGGGAGAATATGCCTACGCTTAATAATTTGAGCCACTTGCCTGACCCTTGTTTTGTGCCATAAAACACGTTAACTTCCGGTATATATGGCTGTGTGAACAGAGGTGAAAATGGGCTGGGCTGGGTCAAGCTTTGTCCTGAAAAGTTAAGCTTATGTCAAAAAATTTTAATTTTGCCTGGTCCAAGCCTAGTATGAGTCTAACTGTTAGCCTGACCTAGCCTGTTAATTTTTAACTTCTAAGTAGAACCCTGAAGCAACCTTACAAAATACTCAAATTTTGTTGCTAAACCAAAAATCATAATTTCAACGTCCAAACAGAATCATGAATCATAACAAAACTCATACAATCTGTATTTAAATCACTTTCAAAAGCAAAATGCTCAAACTAAATAACATATATTTCATCAAATCCAACAAACAAATCCATACTATGTAAATTAAAATAACTCCGTGAATCAAACAAACACATCATTATCTTGTAGTAAGTATAATCTCTCCCAAAAATCTTTTAATATATTAATATATACAATCTAACATGCTGAGATGTTAGTTCCTACTATATAAGAAATAAAGTCAGATTTCTATTAAAATATAATCAAATATAATTAAGTTAGAAATAATTGCAATTGATTAAATTTATATCTTTTTTTTTCAAGGCATACTTATTATATTTAATTTAAAATAAATAGTATAATATAGGCCGACCTGTAGGCTTATAGGTCAGACCTATTGAAAGTGAGCCTACGATTTTTTTATTAAACAAGCTTTTTCAAGGCTCAAGCCCGACCTATTTTACGAAATATATTAGGTCAAGTCTTGCCTGACGTAGGTCGAGTCGTAAGCCCCTATAGGTCGGTCCAGTCAAGTTTCACCCCTAGTTGTGAATCTTGTGATTATGTGTTACCGTAAGTACAGATATTGGAGTTCTTTCCTAGCACATTAATAGTAATAGCCCAATACCCCAACATAAGCCCAGGGTTTTCATTGGGCCATTTCCAAGAGTTGGGTCATTTAAATTGAATCCCCCACTGCAAGAAGGTTTCGAGAAATAAACCCTCTCAGCATCTCTCATAAATTCTTTAACTTACCTCTTATTTAAAAGTATAGAAAATTGTAGATCATGGAGAGAGTGGATAAAAAAAATAAACCTAAGTTCTTGGGACCACCATATTAATGTGATATGATAATAATATGATCCGGGACTACCATAGTTCTTCCACTAAAAGCTTGACACCTCGACTAAAAATTTCTTTTTTCTCTCTCCTCAACTTTTTCTCTCTTTCTATCACCTCAGTTCCATCAAACTTTTGTTGGTCTCGAATCACACTAACTTTGCTCGTGAACCTGACCATACTTTTCCCACCGATTAATGGTGTACCAAAAGCCAGAACGTGTCAGTTTCCAAGTCATTGAACAAGAACTTAAGACTTCATTAGCCAAAAATCAAAATATTTATGATGCCTTCATAGTTTCACTCTTTCAATTTAATAAAGCCTGAGGCTACAGTAATAAAGCATATCAAGCCACATTTGTAAAGGGAATATACAATAGTCATTCATTAATCATTGATCGATTTATTGAGCTTTCCATTTTCAATCTACTAACTCAAGTTCAAAACAATTGAGTTGAATCCCAAGCGCAATTTTTTAAATTTTATAATGGGAACTTTTTGTTAAGATTTACCATATCATGTGCTTCAGTAAATCTTAAGAACAGCCTCTCCAATTCTGGACTCAGTTGAAGAAATGGGCACGTACAAATTGTTTCTGTCAATTATATGCAGTTTGCGGTTCCACTAGCAGACACTTCATACAAAAGGTTTCTAAATTTTTCTTATAATTAACACCCCTTCTCTTCAAGTTATAGCATGTAATTGAATGAATATACATGTGCATTCGGTATAATCGGAGGTAGTGTTTCCATGTAAAGGTACAAACGTCTTAAATTCTCCTTTGCAATGGTAACCTTGTCAACCACATCATTGTTGCCAATAACTACCCATAAATCTCTAGGAGTGACCATCCTGAGGCTGCAACGGCAAAATGGGCATGATTTTGACCTCATGTACCTGAAAATTTCATATATTACCATTTTCAATGGCCATAAGTTTCACTTGCAAGTCATTATTATAATAAAGACAAGAAATTTTTCTAAAAGTGTGGCAATTGACAGTACCAATCATGGAAGCAGCTAATGCACAACGTATGAACACAATTAGGCAGAACCATCTTCATGCTGTTTTCCATGCATATGCCACATTCCTCTTCTCCCTCTAGATCTTTATCAATAAGCTTTTCAAGCCTCTTTCTGCTCACAACATCTGCACAGCTACTTCTTTGATCATTGTTTTTAGCCACATTAAACTCGCCTTGAAGTAACCTCAATGAAGGGTATATTACAGCTGCAAGAACATGTCATCATCTAAATTCATTAAGAGTTGAAGAGATAAAGGCATCAAGAAAGTTAGATACATGTTAACATTGAAACATACCATAGAATTCCTTTATTGTGGCTTTCCTTTCTTTTGAGGAAATAGATGGCATTCCATCAACATATACCTGCACAAACAAAGTAAAGCTAATTCATTTGCATCTCCACGGTAAAAAGGTGGACAAAAGAGTGAAAGAATTCTAAGGGACAATGGCCAAAGTGTTACTGTTCGCAAAAAAAAACACCAAAATATCACGTGGCATATTTCGCTACACTGTGTAGCGAAATACGTGTGCAAATATTTCGCTACACGGTGTAGCGAAATATACCACGTCAGAACCAAAAATGCCACGTGTCAAACAGGGAGAATTTCGCTACACTGACACGTGACATTTTTGGTTCTGTGCATTCTGACGCGGCATATTTCGCTACATGCCACGTGACATTTTGGCAAAACTTACTGTTAACGTAACATTTTGGTGTTTTTTTTTCCAACAGTAACACTTTGGCCACTGTTATGAATTCTAAGACTTATTAAGGAGGAAAGCAAAAAAGAGAGAAGAAATTAACCAGAAAAGATGAGTGATAATATTGACTAACATTGAAAATAAGTATGTGGAGTAAGCCCAAATACGTGGGCAAAGTATCTGTACAACTAAAATCCAACCATTCGATCAAGTGCAAGAAAAGATGAGCAAAAGGGCTGTAAGATAATTTCATCTGAAAATAGTCCCCACCATAATCTCGAGGAAGTGCTGATGACCTGAATTTTTTTAAATAACAACATTAGCATAAGCAGACAACTCAAGCATAAAATTTCATGATAGCTTAGTAGTATTAGTAGCATTTTCACTTTCACAACATAAACAAAATTGACCAAACTATAGGAAAATTGTGACATATGGAGATGACTTCTCTTTGTAGGTAATTCTGCTATATGATCAAAATATGTAACTCAGAATAGAGATAATTTATGGGAATGGGAGACTATTCTACCTTAAAAAATTGGAATTGATACATTTGTAATTATAAGTTATAGGGTTTTACTTTTATCCTTTAACATAACACAACAAACTTTCCTACTCTCACAACATTTTGTGGGGCCCACACTTTTTAAAACAAAAAAATAAATAAAAAATTAAGGCACGCAAAACGAATCTCTATAACATTGCACAGTTATATCCCTTAAAAAAATAAAATAATGAAAAAATAAGGAACTTACAGGGTATTAGCATGTTGGATATCAGCTTCGAGAGCCTTGATAGAATCACTATAAGAAGAATTATTGGGCTGCTTTTGCCACATTATAAGTCTGAAACAAGAAAAAAGGTAGAAAGTATGATAGAAAAGAAAATAAAAAGAAAAGAAAAGTCTGATGAGCTTTTTTGCAAGGAACCAGTATGGTTTGTTCTATGAAATTGAATGGGAAATTTTGAAGCATGAGATTAGAAGGAATGAAGAAAGGAAGGATATAAAAGCAGAGAAAGAAGGTTGCTTAATTTTGAAAGTTCTCACACTGTAAGGAAAGAAAAGGATGCCTTATCTCACATAACTTACTTTTCCTTCCTTCATTAATTTGGTGGTCAACTGCAATGCTGTGCTGGGTGTTAATTTTACCGTTTGTTTGTGTCAAAGTCTCTTAATATAAATGTTCCACCGTCCCCTACAATAGTTGTTGAGTTGCACCTACTTTTCTTTACTTTTTCATTTCTCATATTTCTCTTATAATTCTAAGCCTCGAGTTATTTGTAAATGGATAAGTGACAATTATATAATTAGTACTATTAGCTTATTATTTTATGGTTTTGGATTATGATATTTATTCTGAATTATCATTTCGCATAAAGATGTTATTAGCAAAGAAACTGCATGTGTGATGCTAAACTTCTCAGCGTTTTTCTACACTATTGTCATCCTTTGCTAATTACCGCAAAATCCAAAAACTACTTTTTTTTCCACTTAAAATATTACCTACTAAAAAAATATAATAATTGATAGACGCAAAAATTTGTAAGAAAAAATTTATAGATTTAATTTTTATTAATTGAAATTATAAAACTTTGTATACACTATCATCTAATTAGCTAATTATGTATTGATACTGTTTCAGTCAATTCTTTTTAACAATGTGATAGTGGTAGACATAATTGATTAATCGTGTAAAAATTATCCTAAAATTAAATTCTTAAAAATTGTGAATATTTATAATGCAGACTTTTGTGGATAATTTCACAGTGCATTTAATCATTTTTCGTTAAACACCAAGCAAGGCTTCTAGAGCCTAGCAAGTCCAATAAATGTACATCACATCAGTCCAGTTATAGGTTCGGTCCATTGTGACGGCAAAGGCCCAAAACGTTACAAAGAAGCTAAATAAAGGGCCTAACGAGGAAGGTGTTATGTTAAATGATGGGACTGTGATTGTTATGTTGTAAGCGTGTGGAATAAATATTAGATACACTCGTATAAAACCGCAAACAGCAACTCGGCGGGTCAACTCACTTCACTAGCTAAATGGGATAGGGCGGATTGAGTTTTTTAACCCATCTCAAAAGTGGGACAGGACGGGATGAGCTCATTTTTTGACGGGTTGATAGTAGGTATAGGTGGAGCGAGGTAAGTCAGTGTAAAATAAGCTCGGACTGACGGACCAACTCGCCAAACGGAACGACGCTGACAGAGTTTTTCAGTCCAATTTTAAAAGTGGGGCGGAGTGGACTGGCTCATTTTTTGGCAGGTTAATGGTAGGATGATTTTGCCACCTCTACTCATACACCATATTCATTGGTTTTTTTTTTTTTTCACCTTTTACATATAATAAACCAGGTTATGTGATTCTGAAATTTGTTCTTTCATTTGCCTTAATGTCACTATTTATTTGTGAAAATATATCTACTGGTGCATGGTAATAACATCTAGATTCTAGATCAAATCATATGACTTACTTTCAACACTTACAATGCTGCTTCTTAATGAACTGATTGCTAAGTATACTTTCATTTTCCAATAAATATTGTATAGCATTTCGCTTGTTGTCTTCTGGAAATGTCAAGAAGAACAAAGGTAAAGGTTATCCCTGTGCTTCAGTCTTCTTTGGGAAAGGGGTGAATTGAAGTAACAAATATACCCTCAAAGAATGTTCATATGGCCTTATTAATAATTACACATTTAAAAGCAATTTTTGCCAACAAATTTAACAACATTATATTTACCAGAATCATTGTTTAAATAAAGTTTTAAAATATAACACTAAATAAAGTCACATCTCAAAGATATTAAATTTAAAAAATTAATTTAAAAAAAAAAAATCAAAGTGCGTAAGATGAAACTGTCAACCATGATAAGATGAAAGGGGTGCAGATTTTTAACTATACTGGCTTCAGACTAATTATATAGTCGATTTAAAGAGTTGAAATCAATAAACCAACTCACCTTAAAAAAATAATGAAAAATCGATATATGAAAAAAAAACACTAATGTTGCAAACTAAATAGATGTAAGTGTAATAATTTGCGCCAATACTTGGAAAATAACTATAATTATCCCTAAGAAATTTGAAATTTAAAAAAGAAATTTGTCAGTCCATTCCATTTACAGGTCCAGCCCTTGGTTAAGGCAAATGCCCAAAATTTCACAAAGTTATTGTCATATAGATACAAATACAACTATACAAGTGTAGGGCCTAAAGAAGGAGGTGCTACTAAGTTTGATATCGTGCCTGATAGTGATTGTTATGCCTTAAAAACGTGTGGGGTCCCCTCCAGTTGGAGCCAAACGACAATTCAGATATACTAGATATACCCTTTTTTTCTATAAAAAAAAATTAATAGCTAAATAAACGCTAAGATTACAAAATAAAATAAAACTTTTCTCATCAAAATAAACTTTCTGTTTGCCTACTTAACTGAATAGCGTAAGCATCTGTTTTAATTGTTGGATTTATTTTTCTATTTATTTTGTTTTGAATTTTGATGCCTAAGTTGGAACTTGATACTTGCAAAAAAATGTCCTATGGCGGAAAACAGGAGGAACCAGAGTTGCTATTGTAGACACACTGAATATGTGCATATTGGACCACCGAATTGATTGCATCGAGATTAAAGAGGGGACCGCACTTTATTTGTTTACTTTTTCAAACTTCAAAAAGCAGAAAGACAACATGGTCCAAAGGCACTGTTGATAAGATTAATAATCATGCACCTATTTCCCTGCTTTTAGCATAGTTAAGGTTGTGTCTATTATGTAATTTGTAACATTATATAGTATTTATATGAGTAAAATCATATTTAAAGTTGTTATATGTGCAGCAATGATAGGTGTATGGTTATAATTTTTCACATTTAATGTTTGTGTATGGTTATGATTCTCCATATTAAATACTTTAACCTATATATATGGAAAATTCATCACTACTACATGTAAAACGGCCGCAGAAAAATCGAACCATTTATATATCATCCATCAACTTATGTCAATAAATTAAAAGTGGGGTTTCAAATTCACTATTAAACTATTGGAAAAAGAAGTATACAAACTTGTGTTCTTTTAAGCGATTTACAGAAAGTTGGATCGGTAAGACTTTATGTAAATTTGAAAAGTTACTTTTTTTTTCTCTCCTCAGTCACATCACTGATGTGTAAAGTAAAAAAAAAAAACTTTTCAAATTTATACAAAATCTTATTAATTAAACTTTGTGTAAGTCACTAAAACGACACAAGTTCTTTCTTACCATCCAATGAACCCTTAAACTATTGTGAATTCTTAATAACAAAGAAAAGAGACCAAATCCATGGATCTGATAATAATGTTGGAGTGCATGGCAAGATGATTGATACAACATGACATATGTTTGTTCATGTTGTCGTATAGCCCCAATAGAGTTCATTGTACCCAAGTAGTCTTGTTTTTTTGGGAGCTTCTTAGAGTGAAAACAAGTGAGTGGGCCTAAAATATTGAGCTTGTGCCTTGTGTGTCACTTTCGTAAAGAGAAAAAAAGGAGAACATGAACTCTTATTTTCTTAAAGAAAAAGAAGATTCCTACATCAGATAAAGTTACAAACGTGAATGAACAATCAACAAACTTATCAATCGATAAAGTTAAAGCTAAGTGGGAGAAAGCTGGTTGAGATGCTGAACTCAAACAAGCAGTTAATGTCAACAATCACACAAAATTCTTGATGCAAATTATTAGTTTTCTTTCCTAACTCCAATGGGTTTATTTTCTCTCTTTCTGGTTACACTTTCTCTTCTAACATCATATGCTGTTTGCCAACTTCAAGGTATGTTTCTTTAGTAGACAACAACTTAGGATGTTAGTTTTGAATTCATTTTCAGTTCAAGCAACCATGCATGCCAAAACTTTAACTCATTTTCAATTAAAAACACATAATTTCTAAGTAGAATATGTTTATTCTGTGGAAACCATGTCATTTTTATGATAGAAGGAAGAAAACAGAACCATGATGGGGCTCTAAATCTGTGAGATAATTGACTTGGGATGCAGAATTTATCAGTATTGACTGTGGAGGCACAAGCAACTACACAGATACAAGCACAGGGCTTTCATGGATTTCAGATTCTGAGATCATGAACCATGGCATGCAAGTGGAAATCCAAAATCCCAATGGAAACAAGGTTCAGTACAAGAGACGCAGAGACTTTCCTATAGATAGCAGGAAATACTGTTATACACTTAGCACTGAGGAGAGAAGAAGGTATCTGGTAAGAGCAACGTTTCAGTATGGAAGCTTGGAAAATGGAGACACATACCCTCAGTTTCAGCTCTACTTGGATGCAACAAAATGGGCTACTGTGTCAATATATGATGCTTCAAGAATATATGTAAAGGAAATGATCTTCAGGGCACCCTCTAACTCAATTGATGTTTGCATGTGCTGTGCTACAACTGGTTCTCCCTTCATATCTACCCTTGAGCTTAGACCCTTGAATCTTTCTATGTATGCCACTGATTTTGAGGATGATTTCTTCTTGAAAGTGGCTGCAAGAATTAACTTTGGTGCTCCAAGCGAGGATGCTGTAAGGTCTGGTAGCTCCACCTCATAGTGTTTTCTTTTCTACATCTGCTGTAGTTTTTGGTTTTCAAACATTTCACTGAGAGAACAAAAAACCAACAGAACCTAGATTTAAAATTTTGCAGCATGGCTGAAAATCCAAATATTGGGTGCTATCAGCTTGATTTATTTATTGATTTGTTGACAAATATTTATCAGGTATCCAGATGACCCATATGATAGAATTTGGGATTCTGATCTTATTAAAAGACAAAATTATCTTGTTGGGGTAGCCTCAGGCACAGAGAGAATTAACACAACAAAGAACATAGACATAGAGACAAGAGAACATCCACCTGTTAAAGTGATGCAAACTGCAGTTGTTGGCACAAAAGGAGAACTTAGTTACAGATTAAACCTGGAAGACTTCCCTGCCTATGCTAGAGCTTACGCGTATTTCGCGGAGATTCAAGATCTGGGTAAGAATGAGACTAGAAAATTCAAATTGGAGCAACCTTATATAGCTGACTATAGCAATGCAGTGGTGAACATAGCTGAGAATGCTAATGGGAGTTACACTCTTTATGAACCAAGTTACATGAATGTGAGTCTGGATTTTGTTCTTTCATTCAACTTTGTTAAGACCCGGGATTCTACTAGAGGACCTCTTCTAAATGCAATGGAAATAAGCAAATACTTACAAATTGCTTCAAAGACCGACAGGCAAGATTGTAAGTTCTTAATGTCAGTATATATTTGAGAAAATAGATCTTTTGGTGCAGGTATTACATAGCTAATATGGATATGTAATTACAACAAAGGTCAAATCATTTGAGTAACTTTCAACAATTTCATTGCTCTATCAATTGAACATATTGCTAACCATACTTTTCTTTTACAGCAAATGTTGTAAATGCATTTAGCTCCTTGTCTTCTGAAAGTGTGCTGAAGAACGAAGGCGATCCTTGTGTTCCAACACCCTGGGAGTGGGTAAATTGTAGTACCACTACCCCTCCTAGAATTACAAAGATGTAAAGTCTCCATACCTTTCATGCCAACTTCTAGTCTAGTGAATTGCCATCTCTGACAGCAGATTTAAACACATTTTATGTTGAATTCAAAAAGTTAATGAGAGTTACTGGTATAATTATAGTTGGAGAACAAATTAGGCAGAAGCATGATGGAAAATTATCATCAAACATTTCTAATCTTCACCTAAAATTTTGCCATGGTGAATTGTTGAGATATATAAAACCATTAAAAAGCCCTCACCCATCAGCTTAAGCTTTTGGGTTGAATTGGTTCTTTAGATGGTATCATAGCCTCGGTGTACCGGGTTCGATCTTTACCGGCACTGCCCCCCACTTTCTTTATAGTGGAATTTCTTTCTTCGTACAGGTAGGTGGGCCTGTGCATCGTCCACCCTTCAACCCTAGTGGGCTCTCGTGTGAGGGGGCGTGTTGAGATATATAAAACCATTAAAAAGTCCTCACCCACCAGCTTAAGCTTTTGGGTTGAATTAGTTCTTTACATGAATTTTTACCGGAAGTTCAAGTAGTACAAATTTTTACTAATGGTAATAACTTTGTATTAGAAACCTGTCAAGAAGGAATGTGAAGGGTGAAATCCCACGTGAGCTCAACAACATGGAAGCATTGACAGAGTTGTAAGTAAATCATCCTTCAGAATAAGAATGCTTATTATTATTATTATTCTTTTCATGTGGTTTCTTTTGTAATTCTTTTGTGTTTTCTTAGGTGGTTAGATGGCAACTTGCTTACTGGACAACTACCTGATATGAGTAATCTTATCAATCTAAAGATTGTGTAAGTTCTGTAGTTTCACACATACCCTTTTTTCTGAGGGGTTGAGGTTGAATCAATATTTTGAAAAACATCCTTCTTTCTAAGCTCCTTTTTTTTCTTATTTTCGTTTTTTCAACTAATGACATGCAGCCATCTAGAGAACAACAAATTGACTGGTCCACTACCATCTTACTTGGGTAGTTTGCCAAGTTTACAAGCACTGTAAGTAGCACTTAATCATCAATGTTTATCATCTCTACTTTCAGAACAACTTGAAGCATTTTCCTAGTTAGCCCTGAATTCCTTCAACTGAACATAATTGTTACCCCTCAGATATTCATTAATCATGCAGCATCTGTGCATCTATGACAGGTTCATACAGAATAACTCATTTAATGGGGAAATACCAGCAGGGTTAGTATCTGGAAAAATCATTTTCAAGTAAGTATGCTCAGTAACAGCATAATTTTTCTTGTATTAAGTCATTTTAAGTGCAGATGCTAAACATTCATTGAATTTACATTAAAAATAACTTCAGTATGAATATAATAGGACGAGGATCTTTTCTACATAGTTTAGTACCCAGATTGAAGTAACAGACATTCATTTTCTCTTCCAGCTATGATGATAATCCTGGACTACATAAAGGGAACAAGAAGCATTTTCACTTGATGCTTGGAATTTCTATTGGAGTACTAGGGATTCTATTCATATTGTTCTTAACAAGTTTGGTGCTATTGCATAATCTGCGGAGAAAGACATCTCAACAGAAACGTGATGAAAAAGGTTAATCAACAAAGTCAAATCTAATACTTTTTAACTTGACAAATATCAAGTTCTACCATCAAAGTATTCTTGTGCCTTGTCAGGTATTTCTGGACGCAGTAGCACTAAACCTCTAACTGGATACTCATCTGCTCGGGGTGGGAATTTAATGGATGAAGGTATTGCTTATTATATGCCGCTTTCAGAGTTGAAAGAAGCTACTAATAATTTTTCAAAGAAAATTGGCAGAGGAAGCTTTGGATCAGTCTACTATGGGAAAATGAGAGATGGAAAAGAGGTGGCAGTTAAGATTATGACTGATCCATCAAGCCATGGGAACCAGCAATTTGTGAATGAGGTAGCATTTCCATATTTGAATCCTGATTGAGATTTAGTTTTGTACAATCAATCTATCAGTGTCCTATCATAAATTTTCAGCTGCAGTTTAATTAAAAGCATTGCATTCCTTGAATTTCCTTAGCATTCTACGTATTCAAGATGCAAATATCACTGCTCTATCAGTTTAAGAAATTGAGACTATGAAACCTTCTTAATTCCAGCTCAGGTCTAACTGCAGAAGACCTACTTTCGAATATGAATTTCTTAATAGCTAAGAGGAACCAGAAGAATATGAGAAAATCTTGATTTTCAGCTCATTGATTGTAAAGTCACAAAAGCATTCTACATATTAGAGAAATCTAATATAATATCATTGATGGACCTTCACTTAACAGTATACGTTTTTAGGTTGAACTGGTTGATTTACATGGTATTAGAGCCTTTGTGACTAAGTGGTCACAAGTTCGATCATTATCGCCCCTCATTCTATTAACAAATAATTAATATTACGGAATTTATTAATGTAGATAGAAAGGGCCTGTATATTGTCCACCCTTCAAGCCCAATAAGCTCTTGCGCGAGGGTATGTGTAAAAGAGATATTGTAAAGAACCACTTCAACCCAAAACCTTAAGGTGTTGGGTGAGGATATTTTTAATGGTTTATATTATACTCTAACGCGCGCCCTCACACGAGAGACCATCGGGCTTGAAGGGTGGATAATGCACAGACCCACCTACCTGTGCTAAGAAGATTCCACAAGAGAAAGTGGGGGCGGTAAGGATTGAACCCAAGACACGAGACTCTGATACCATGTAAATTATCAAGATAAAAGAGGTATTGATTGTATACCTGTGCTAGCAGATATAAAATAAAACCATTGATGGACCTTCACTTAACAACTTAATCTTTTAGGTTGAATTGGTTGTTTTGCACTACTTATTCAAGATGCAAATATGTCACTGCTCTAACAGCTTAAAAAATTGAGACTTTGAAACCTTCTCAATTCCAGCTAAGGTCTAACAGCAAAAGACATACGTTAGAACATGAATTTCTTAATAGCTAAGAGCAACTAGAAAAATATGAGAAAATATTAATTTTCAGCTCATTGATTGTAAAGTCACAAAATGCAGGTAGCTCTCCTATCAAGAATTCATCACAGAAACTTGGTTCCTCTGATTGGATATTGTGAAGAAGAAAATCAGCATATTCTGGTTTATGAGTATATGCACAATGGCACTTTACGGGATCACATTCATGGTCTAATTCCACACCCCTAGCATTCATCTATTTACCTAGTAGTAAGAATTCTAATCCTGATATAAACTCCAATGTTTTGACAGAATGCTCAAATCAGAAGCAATTAGACTGGTTAGCTCGACTTCGAATTGCAGAAGATTCAGCTAAAGGTTGATGATTAATGACTAACTTATTGGTCCACAAGTAATTTCAGAAATTCACTTCCAAGTTAACAGTTAAAGAGCAATTTTCAATTTCTGTAGGTCTTGAATACTTACACACAGGATGCAATCCTAGTATCATTCACCGAGATGTAAAGACAAGCAATATTCTCCTAGACATCAATATGAGAGCAAAAGTTTCAGATTTTGGACTCTCAAGACTAGCTGAAGAAGATTTAACTCATATATCAAGTGTTGCACGTGGAACTGTAGGCTACCTGGATCCTGAGTAAGCCATGGATCTCATGTGTCCATGATCAACAATATCTTTTTTGCCTGAACTTGTTGAGCTCAGTTTTTTTTTCCTCCCCCAAACAGGTACTATGCAAATCAGCAATTGACTGAAAAGAGTGATGTATACAGTTTTGGAGTTGTTCTACTAGAACTGATATCTGGAAGAAAACCTGTTTCATCAGAAGATTATGGTTCCGAAATGAATATTGTTCACTGGGTATGTTTGCTTTTGAACAATCCAAAGTTGAAAAGTTAGCATCGGTAAAGGTTGCCAAACCAGAAGCTGAAACAATATGAAGATATGTTGCTAGGAATATACTAAAAACCACTCCTCCTTAAACTCGATTAGCGAGTGTGGGGTGGAGGTAATTCTTGTATGCAGATAAAAAATCACTCCCCTTTAAACCCGACTAGCGAGTGTGGGTGGAAGAAATCCTTATACTCAGCCTTACTTTTGCATAATTGCATAAAAAACCACTCTCCGTTAAACTCGACTAGCGAGTGTGAGGTGGAAGAAATTCTTGTACACAACCTTACCCTTGCATAATTGCAAAGAGGCTGTTTCCTGAAAAGGGAACTCATGATCTTTCAGTCATGAAGGAACAGTTTTACCACTATTCCAGTTTGCTTCCTTTTTAAAATTTTGTTGCAGACTTTAATACCTATCCTACTTAATTTTTTTTTACATGTTTTGCAGGCAAGATCCTTAATTCGTAAAGGAGATGTAGTAAGCATAATGGATCCTTCCCTAGTTGGGAATGTCAAAACTGAGTCAATTTGGAGGGTAGCTGAAATTGCCATGCAATGTGTAGAACAACATGGTGCCTCAAGGCCAAGGATGCAAGAAGTCATTTTGGCTATACAAGATGCTTCTAAGATTGAAAAAGGGACAGATAGTGAGCCAACATTATCATCATCTTCATGTAGTTCAAAACCACAATCTTCACGGAAAACTTTACTTACAAGCTTTCTTGAAATTGAGAGCCCTGACTTGTCAAATGGTTGCCTCCCTTCAGCAAGATAATTTTTTTTTTTTTTGCTTTTTTCTTTATCTAATCATAGTACCTTATGTGGGTAGATTTTGTACATTACTTGTCATTATTTTCCTTCACCTTTTTGTCAATGGTTACACTATTAATATGTTTATACCACAGTGACACTCACTGACTAGTGACAAGATGCCTTCAAATCTTAGAACCTATGAAACTGTAATATTCTTCATCTGCATGTGGCTTGTTGCAAGAATTAACAAGTTATTTTTATTTAATTTGGTTATCTGTAAACTGGAAAGGAAAAGGAAAGTGCCTTCTGACAAAAGCCAATGAGAGAATTGAGAGGAAATTGGAAAAAATTGAAATTTTCATAATATAATAGAATGTTTATGATATAAGACATGTTATTAAAACCGGTCTGACCGACCGGTCAGACAAGAAACCGGATAATTAATAGATTTGGTTCAATCAATTAACTGGTTATGCAACAATCTGGTTAAGAAATGGTGAATAAATTATAAATCAAGTTCAATCGGTGCTAGCCACTAAGTCAGGTTATTTTTGTTGTTATATTATTTCTATTTATATATTTATTATATATCTATATATAAATTTAATTTAAACGGTTCAACTAATGATCTATTCACCCGGATCCCAATTGAGTTGATGACCACTTGGGTTTAATAAAATTATACAAGACTAATATACCTTTTACTAATCACTAACAAGTTACATGTCTCTCTAACTAATTACTAACTAATCTCGAAATAACCCAATACTGATATACATATACCTTTTACTAATCACTAAATAATTACATGTGTATCTAACTAATTACTAACTAATCTCTAAATAACCTAATGTGTGTTGTGTGCTGATACAGGGATAAGCATAGAAGTTTTAGTTTGTCGTTTAATATGACCAGAAAAATTTTCCTACACACATAATATTTTATGGAGCCAACACTTTTTAAAGCAAAAAATAAAATAAAATTATGGCACACAAAAAGAATCTCTATAACATTATACAATCATTTTTCCTACAACATAATTCTTATAAAACTCGTATAACCATATATACTTGTTCAAATATTTGGAAATCCCAATATTGCCTACCGAATGAGACTGAAGTAGGATATATAAATTGTGACAACAGAGCCAATGGAGTGGCATTCCCAAGTAAGTGTTGGTCCCTTGTTTTTACCCCCTCACTTTGGGCCGAAAATTAGCATGATGTGACTAGTGAGAATAAATTGATTACTAGAAAGTTGAAACAATGCCAATAATTCTCCTTCATCGCTGTCGCATTAATTGAGCATAATATAGCTATGGCTAGAACAATAATAGTTCAAACTAACAAAAGCGAAAGTTCATTTGAAAAAGTCATGAATATTATAATATGTAGTCATCTTTGTCATCTAGACGAGTCTAGAGTTTTAATAAGTGGATTTGACCTCATTTTGATTGAGTGTATATATATATATATATATATATATATATATATATATATATATATATATCACAGAAACCTAATTAGCGCACCTAAAAACATAATAATATAATGTAATAAGTAATGGCAGTCCATCTAGAATATTCAATAGCAGGTGATCTCATAATGTTTTCTATTGAGCATCAAACCCATGCGTGCTCAAAAAGAAAATGAGTGAGATACATATAAATCTTTTATGTGAAATGAAAAAGAAGAAGCTGATTTGAAGATTTATTTAACTTCAACTTGTTTGCAAAAGATCCTCATTGACCTTCGGAAGTATTAAATTGACTTTTATAGTTTTATTATAATTTGAATTTTCATCTAACGCAAAAGGAACTGGTCTTTATTTTCTCTTCACAACCAAACCAATAGTTTGAAGACCCTAAGTCAATGTTTTCTCATTTTCAGTTTGTGTATATTCTTTATTTAGAATTTTTTTTAATTTTTTCTATAGAGAAATAGATTGCATATCTCGTAAATAAATTTTATGGTTTCAATTTTCTTATTAGAAAATTTTCTTATATTATAAACATATCTTGTATGCAGTCCACATCTATTAAAAAATAGAAAAAAAAATATCACACAAAAATTGAAACATCACTAATAAAAGAAAATAATTCTTAGAACATAAAAAAATGTTTTCTCAAACTTTATGTATAGTATCAAAAATTGAAATCACTATAACAAGTTAACAACCCGTGACAATTTGTATTGTATAATACTAATTATATTTTAAATGATATAAAATTATGTTATTTTAATAGAGAGATAGACACAAAAAAATATTTTTTTATTTAAAATTTAAATTAAAAAATCATTCACTTTCTCTCGCATAATTTTCATTCTTTGTGTTTATCTCTCTCCTAAAATGACATAATTTATATCTCTTAAAAGACAAACATCAAATCCATATTTTATACTAGAAAAGATTATATTTAATACCTCTTTTTCTTATTATTTCTTATAACCAAATTGTAATTGTTGATTTTCATTAATCTAGCGGTTGTAGTTTATTAAAAATTAATAATTAATTAATAAATATGACCCAATAAATTACAATCGTTAGATTGACGAAAATCAACAATTAAAATTTGGTAGTAAGAAAAAGAGGTAATAATTATAATCTCTCACTTTTATATATTTAAATTTAAATAATAAATAAAACTAAAATAGGATAGAATACGAAAAAGGAAAAGACTACTATACCTAACCTAGATAACTTAGCCGTGGCCGTACAATGATGAGGAGAGAAAAAGAACAATGACATTAAATAACATAGTGAGTTTCTTAACAAACACAAGTTATTGTCTTGTCTCGTATATCGTATGATTCTCATCTCGTAGGTATTATCTCATTTCGTAGTCATCAATTCAATTCATCATCATGGGAAAGAACGTAGCGCAACGCATCGTTTGTTATACGGCATACCTTAACCTCACCCACCGCAACACCCAAAAAACCAAAACCCAAAGCACACTCATATAAGCACCCCCCAAAAGGTTGAAACTTGGGGAGAGAAACATTGAAAAGCTATCATTTTTCTTCTCTTCATCAATTGAATTGCCTCACTTGTATCTTATCTGCTTCTTGATTTTCCTTTTTTGGTGGTTATTAGGATAAGGGTCCTCAAGATTATTCAATCACCTTCACCCAAGTTGATTCTTGAGTCTTTACTAAGTCTCATAGAAAGAGGAATAATTTCCCTTCTATCCCTCTCTTTCTCTGTGTGTTCTGTGACCCAGTTGATTCTCTTCTTCATCTTTTCTCAAAGTAAAGGCAAAGAGGGAAAGATGGAAATGATGCCATACCAACTTTCCCGGTTACCTTACCAAGATTCCCTCAAAGTTCTGGAGGCTGATATACAGCATGCCAATGCTTTGTGAGTTTAATTTTTTCTCATACCCTTTATTTTCTCTCATCAATTTATCAACTTTCCTTTTTTGACATGTTTTGGGTACTATGAAAAAGATGGGTTAACACATAATTGTTGATTATTTGCCTTTAATTGTTTTCTAGTAGATTGATTTTATGAGATGAAAATAATCAACTTATATACATGTTCGTTGAATTTGTTACTCATAATAGGAATTTGGTTATCAGTTTGATTGTGATTTTTTTTTTTTTTTTTTTTTTTTTTTGTATTTTACTTTTTTGGTTTCTCCCCCACTGAATTTGAATTATGGGTTTGTGCCTTCTAGGGCTGCTGCAATTCCCAGAACCAAGGGTGGGACTCTTCTTCAAATGAAATTGGTTTACAATCATTTGGCTCCTTTCTTTATATTATTTCTACAATGGATGGATTGTTCTTGTGCAGGCTTTCTGCATAGGTATCTCAACCTCTTTCACGTACTTATATACAAGGTGAGTTCATGGATGGAGTTCATCCATTTCTTTGTTAGCATTTGATGCAAAAGATATTTGGTATTGTGTTGTTCCTTTTCTGTTTGACTGTTTTGGACAGGTTTACCAATACTTATAATTGATTCATGTTTTTATTTTGCTGTTGTTGGTTTTCCTATTTCACCAAAGGTACAAAATGATGGTAGATCAAACTTGTCTAGTCATGGAAGGAAGGCAACCATAGGGGACTTCTATGGTGCGTGAACAATTTACTTGGAAAAAGTACCTTTTTATTTATTTCCTTACACAAAAAAGTGTAATCATTTATGGCTACCATGACTGATTATTCCTCACTTTGTGTTTATGTCATCAAAAAATTGAACTTTTAGCCGTTATATTGCCATCTCTTCAGCGGCTTCATGGTAGCTTTGAGAAGTTGGAGAATTCTGAAGAAGGGCACTCAAAAAGCATAATAGAAGGTTCAAGCTATGGCAAGAAAGTTATTGAAGGTGATGGGAAACTAACCAATGTCGATTTTCAAAGAGAAGATGAATGTGGGATTTGCTTAGAGCCTTGTACCAAAATGGTTTTGCCTAATTGCTGTCATGCCATGTGTATCAAATGCTACCGCAAGTGGTAATCACTAATCAAATCACATTGTTTATTATCCTATGTTGTCAATTTGCAAATTTATATGCCAATGGTTTATCACTTTTAACACTTTTCTGTTGGACTTTTTTCAACCTGTAGGAACAGAAAGTCAGAGTCTTGTCCTTTTTGCCGTGGTAGTTTGAGGAGAGTAAATTCGGAGGATCTATGGGTACTAACTTGTAATGAAGATGTTGTTGATACTGAAACAGTTTCTAAGGAGGATTTGTTGCGTTTTTACCTTTATATCAACAAGCTGCCTAAAGATCACCCAGATGCACTTTTCCTAATGTATTATGAATACCTTATTTAATTTTTTACCAAGTAAGAACAAAAAAAAAAATGTACAGATAGTAAAGTCCAGACCTGCAAATGTGAATAGAGTCTGGTTAAAACAGAGAAAATACTATGGTCATTTCATCACAGTTCTGGCAAGTGGTGAGAGTAATTCTGGATTTTTAGCCCAGAAAAATCCACTCTTCTTATTCCTGTGATATATGTCCATTGTAGACATTGCTCTTCCAATTAACTTGGAATTCCTTGTTTGAGTTCTAGTAGCTAGCTAAAGTTTTCTAAGAAGCTAATGAAGATATAAATAAGGATCCATAATTCTTATTCTACTTGTGTTACACTTTGAAACAAAGTGATGTTGAGAATATGAATCCGTGTGATTGTGTTGTATGTTGGAAATGTTAACGTGTGCATAACCATTTGAGGTAAATTTTATTATTGGTGCGAAGGAATATGAATTTTTTTTAGAGTAAATACTCTTTTTAGTCTTTGGCAATATTTACGGAGTCCTTTTCAGTCCCTAGCAATAAAAAATGGACAAATTGGTTCCTAAAATAACAAAAAAGAGGCTATGTTCATCCTTCCGTTAACTCTCACTTAACGACCCAACTAACGGTGCACAACTGGCACGTTAGTTTGCTGACGCGACTTGGATGTGGGACACCGTGGAAGACGAGACAACGACGTTTTGGTCCCTGTCAAAACCACGAGGGCTATTTTGGTCCCTGTCAAAATGCACGAGGACGTTTTTAGTCCCTGACAAAAAGCACAGGGCCCTTATTGGTCCCTAACCAGAGAAAAATAGGCACATGACTTCATTGCTTTTCTATGCAGTTCAATTTTGCAAAACAGAAGTGCATTACATCAGAAACAGGAGTGCAATCCATTTGTTCATCACAAAGTAATTAAACTAAATTTCATCACAAAGTAAAACACTCCTTCTTGGCATTTTATTTCAATGAAGTTTGTGTTTCTAACTGAAGTTTCGACCTTATTAACGATTATTCGTTTCTTTTTCAATGCTAATTAAGTTTCTCACTTTGTTAAAAGGAATTCTTGGATCTTGCAAACAACTTTTACGATCCCTAGAATACTATGAACTGCTTTAATTCTCTTAGTCTGTATAAGACATAGCGTTACACGATTTACGAATAATATCTTCAGTAGTGTAGCATTATATTTATACTATTTATTTTTCTATAAAAGATAATTGCATGATTATTGATATTTAAATAAAGAGAAAAATCAAAGAAAAAATCAGGTAAATGATTGTTGATAATTGCAATGCATGACAGTTGACTGGACTGTAGCATTTGGTAGTTCTCAGCCACATGAAGGCAACTTGAGAGGAAGCAGCCCACCTCCATCAAATCCACAACAGGCAAATGAGCTGTTGAGTAATGAAACAATGAATGCAGCAACCAGTGGCACATGAAGCAGATTATTGGCCTTCATGAGCACACCTGATTTTAGGCCACCAAAGCCTGCCTCAAGAAAATGACATGCTGCTGTATATGACCTGAGAGTAGTGCATGAGCCAACTGAGAAGGGATTATATTATGTGACTGACTTTTTTTGAAATAAAATGCCAAGAAGGAGTATTTTACTTTGTGATGAAATTTAGTTTAATTACTTTGTGATGAACAAATGGATTGCACTCCTGTTTCTGATGTAATGTACTTTTGTTTTGCAAAATTGGACTGCATAGAAAAACAATGAAGGATGAACGTCGTCGTCTCGTCTTCCACGGTGTCCCACATCCAAGACGCGTCAGCAAACTAACGTGCCAGCTGTGCACCGTTAGTTGGGCCGTTAGGTGGGAGTTAACAGAAGGATGAACGTAGTCTCTTTTTTGTAATTTTAGAGACCAGTTTGTCCCTTTTTTATTGTTAGAGACTGAAAATGACTTCGTGTATATTGCCAGGGACTAAAAAAGATATTTACTTTTTTTTTTTATATATTTTAAATATTATTTGTTAGATAGCATCACGGGTTGACTCTTTGAAAGTTTGAATCAAGATTTATATATTGCTGTTTTTAAAATCATTTTCACCTACCCAATTTTGTTCCTACTCGTGCCATGCCATCCTCGTGTGATTGAATGAGCATTTGTAAATTCTTCAGATGGTTTTAGTTTTAAAAAATTAATTTTGTTTAACAGAGGATATGAAGTGAAATAGTTTATATATAAAAACCTTTATTTTAAACATAAATTTATAGTATTATTTTATAATTTCTTTTTGTTTACAATCTCTTATAATTAAATTTTAATCGTTGATTTTCGTAAATTTAATGATTAAAAATTTTAATCGTTGATTTTCATCAATTTAATGATTATAATTTATTTGGTTATATTTATTAATTAATTATTAATTTTTAATAAATTATAACTATTAGATTGGTATAAATAACATTCCTCTTATTTTGTTTTATTTAGTATGAAAATTTTAACTCAAATATAAAAGTTATATGCTTTTTTACTTTTATGATTAAACATGCGTTTACGAACAAATTTAAAAATAACTAGCACTCGAGCGCTCAAGAAAACGCATGCTCGTACACAAGTGCATGCCAAAATTAGAACAAACACACATTTTCCCAACTTCATGGATCACTAGTTTAACAAGTTGAATTAAATATGTATAAAAAATGTAATAAATATAATAATAAAAATAATATAAAAATATAGTGGTGTGGCTTAGTGGTTAATATTGAACATATTTTTGTTAAGTTAAAGTCCTAGGAATGTAATGTTGGTAAAATAATTTATAACAATTTTTAAGAATCGATTTGATTGCATGGCTGATTTAATAACTAGATTATACGGGTTGGTTTGGTCCAATTTTAATAATATTGATTAAAGCTCAAATTTTTCAGCTATTAAGTTTGATATATTTGAGAAAGAAACTAAGGTACATTAGTTTTTAGAAGAAAAAAAATTAAATTAAAATTAAATTTATTTTTTAAAACAGTTAACTTTATTTTTATATTTTAAAAAAATCATACAAGTCATTTTAAATTTTAAAATTTAAACTTAATTTTTATAAATTTATTATAAATATTTGCTATAATTTTATTTTTCTATGTCTACTTTTAAAATTTAACTTTAATTAACTAATATATTTTTAAATTTATATCTTACGTAAATTTAAAAAGATCTGTCCATTATGAGAAATACTAACTAGATGTAAATGATCATTAAAAAAAAGAAAGAATTATAAACAGTAGCTTCAATGCAATATTAATAAGGAGATTTTACATTATCTAAGGGTAATACGTATTATTATGGAAATTCCTGATTACCTGGTCTGATTCATTAAATCATATTTATACGAATTAAGTGTCAGACAAGGCAACCCAATCCATTGTAAGCACAGTAATGACAAGACCATTTAACAAAAGGGCTTTATTAATTTAATATGTTGTAGGTGAATAGTTCTCTTTTTGTTTTTGTAATTAATAATTCTCTTTTATTATAGAAACAATCATAGATGAGATTCACTCATTTATAAAAAAATAAAAAATTAAACTATACAAAAATCAATAAATATGTAAAAAAGAGATATTATCTTATGTTGCATAAAAATAATATTCTCCGTAGCAAAAACGCAAAAAAGGTGGGAAATAAAGTGGGCTCTTTGACCAATCGGGGTTTTTTGTGATTTTAATTTATCAATTTAGTATTTGGATCAAGGTATTTATGAATGGAGTCATTTAGTGATGTGAGGGGGACCCAGCGTCACTGAGTGCCGCTACCAACCCCGCGCCACTCATACTTTTTTATTTTATTTTTTACTTTTTCTTATTGAGTGCCGCCCCCCTCCCCGGGCACTCACAGAATTGTGTCAAGTGGCACAATCTGGTTACTCCTATTACCGTGAAACTTCGGAAAGCCATAACTTTTGACTCGAGTATCCAAATCAGATGATTTTTTTTTATTTCACATAACTTTTCGAGATCTACGCAATGACATCTCACTTAACATATTTTATCTCTCACAAATATAATTCAAATCTGTAAAAAAGTGTAATTAGTGTTGCAAATTTGAACTATATTAATGAAAGGTAAAATATATCAAATGAGATGTCATTGGGTAGATCTCGAAAAGTTATGTGAAATCAAAAAAAAAAATTATCTGATTTGAATACCCGAGTCAAAAGTTATGACTTTCTGAAATTTCACGGTAATAGGAGTAACCAGATTGTGTCACTTGGCACAATTCTGTAAGTGCCTCAGAGGAGGAGGGCGGCACTCAATAAAAAAAAAAAAAGTTGTGAGTGACGCGAGAAGTTGATAGCGGCACTCAGTGACTCTGAGTTCGCTTCGCGTAACTAAATAACCCCTCATTCGTAAATATCTTGAACCTTATACCAAATTGGTAAATCAAAGGAATAAAAACCCTAGGGTAAAAGAGCCAAATAAAGTGTGTTGCAATCAATGGTAAGACTTAGAAGAGCAAACGCAGCCACGTTTGGCCAACAAATTCAAACGAAGTTACGTCTTACGGTCTTACCTCTTCCAAACGGTGTCGTTTGCAGTATGAAAACAGCGAAATGGTCAACGACGAGTCTTGCAAAGCGTTGCCGTTTACCATGTAGCAGTTTCAGGATCTGCAGTGCCATCATGTCTAACCATAATAACGCCGTCCTTAAAAAATAAAAAAAAAATAAAAAACTCTCAGTTTTTTATTTTTTATTTTTCTTACAATCTTAATTTCCTCGTCTTAACAGGTACGCTTTTTTTTTTTTTTTTTTTTTTTTCAGTTTGCTTGGCACTCACTCTGCTATATCAGATTTTCGAAGCTAATTTTATTTTAGGGTTTCGGTTTTTTCCTTCTTTTTTCAATAAATTTTCGGGTTCGTTTGTTTGATTTTAGATTTAATTGATTTGTTGAGATTTGATTTTGAATTCAATTGATTTTAATACTTTCTAGGTTATTATTCTTGTTTTGTAAGTTTTTTTTAAAAAAATTGAATTTGCAGATCCGAATCGGTAGTTGGATGTTGAGGAATTGAAATGTCTGAGAATCATGTAGCAGAGCAGCTTCCGAAAGCGGATTCGGATTCGAATTCGGGTCCTCATATGGGGCACGACCATGTAATCCAACCAAATGGGATCACCGAATCTACTACTGATACTTATCAAGATCAGGTACCTACCAGTTACCAATTATTAATTACCTGAGCCATGAAAATTGGGGCAATGCCAAGTTTTGATTTTTGATCAATGCGAGCGAGTGAAGCAGGTTGAGCGTGTTGATCTCACAGATGGAGTTTTGGTGGACGCTGAAGATGGAAAATCTACAGAGGATACTGCCAGAGATGACATGTTTGTTGATTGCCCTGATGAGCTAACAACATTTGATGGTAGGCAAAAGGAAGAAGAAGCAACTGTTGCCGGAAATGAAGATGAAAAGTTGGAGGAAAATGAAGTTCTGCATCAACAACAGAGTCAATTTGTTGAACTGGGAAATGGGGTTGGAGATGATTACCCCACAGGCCAGCTGGAAGTGGAACAGCTGCGCCATACGCTGGAGAAGGCTGTTGCTGAGAAAGAAAGTGTTTTGCATGAATACCAGGTTTGTGGTTTATGATTAAGAATAGTTTTAGCTTGCACAGATTAAATTTATCATCAATCACTGATCTTTTTTTATTTTTTTGGGTGTTGCAGGAAGAAAGAGAAACTGTTGTCCAAGGAGTGATTGATCTTCATCGTCGGCTAAAGGCTCTGACTTGTCAACAGTCATTGCCAAATGAAGCTGAAGTTGGAGTTAGGGAAGTGACTGATGTTGCATTGAGGGAGATGATTCAAGAATGTTTGGAGTTTGTGAAAACTGCTTCAGAAGAACGACCAAACAGTGAAGCCATTATAAGTGATCTTCGCAGACTTCTATCTGTGAAGGACCGTGAGATAGAGGATCTTAATGCAAAGGTTTCCCAGTTAAGGGTATCCAATGAGAGTTTGCAAGTTTCTTCAGAAACTCAGCTTGAAAAGGATCGTAATATTGAGACTGTGATAGATAAGACGATATCCTCTCTTGCAACAGTTGTAAATCAAGAGCAAGTATTGGATAATTCTATGAATGGGAAAATAGTTTATATTGAGGAAGGCACTGAGCTTTTAATTGCAAAGTATAATCAGATGCTTCTTGAAATTCATCAACTTGGACAATCTTTCTCTGAGGTTGGCTTGGATACCAGAGAGCAGGAATATGGGAACATACTTGTTGATGCTCGTGGTGGGTTACTGGATCTCAAAAGAAAGGAAGCAGAGTTGGCCAAAAAACTGGCTGGGTTAGAAGACGAAAATCGGAAACTGGTTGAAGAGCTTGACAAGGAAAAAGTGATGATAGGGACATTAAATACTGAACTTGAAAATATGAAAATAGAACTTGAGCAGGAAAAGGTTAAATGTGCTAATACCAAAGAAAAGCTAAGTATGGCTGTGACAAAAGGAAAGGCATTGGTACAGCAGCGAGATTCACTGAAGATGTCTCTGGCTGATAAATCCAGTGAGCTTGAGAAATGTTTAATTGAATTACAGGAGAAGTCAGTTGCATTAGAAGCTGCTGAACTTGCTAAGGAGGAGTTGGCCCGTAGTGAAAATATGGTTGCATCCCTGCAGAATTCTTTACTACAAAATAATACGATTTTTGATCGAGTAAAAGAAATCTTGTCCCATGCCGAACCTGATCAGCCTGAAATGTTTGATATGCCAGAGAGACTAAGATGGCTTGTGGATGACAGAATTGCACTTAAGGGTGCCTTCCTGGAGTTATGCAAATTGAAGGATGCTCTATCTCTAGTGGACCTACCAGAACCTGTTTCATCATCTGATTTTGAATCACAAATGAATTGGCTTAGGGATTCTTTTCATAGGGCCCGGGATGATATGTATATTCTACAGGAAGAAATTTCTACAATCAAGGAAGCATCCCGTAACAATATTGATCTCTTGAGTATTTCACTTTTGCTGGAATTACAGGAAAAAGATTACCTTCAGTCAGAATTAACCGATTTGAGGTTCAAATATGAAGAACTTCTTGGGAAGAACCATCATATTTCTTTGGAGAAGGATCAGATAGTAAAAATGTTAGTCGATCTCTCTGGCCTAAACTTGGAAAATGAGGGGATTGATCAATTCTCTTCCAGCACCTCTATGATCATCGATTTATGCTTTCAAAATATAAAAGGACAGAGTGGTCCCTTCTCTACAGCATCTCATATTGATGCTGAGTTGTTTGAAAGGATTCAAAGTCTCTTGTATGTTAGGGATCAGGGATTAAAGCTTTATGAGGATATGCTGGAAGAAGATATGCTAATTAGATCAGATGTAAACAAGCTGTCAAATGAGTTGAAAGTGGCATCTGAGGAAATTGTAGCACTGAAAGAAGAAAGGAGTTCTCTGCTGAAAGATCTCGAACAATCAGAGGAGAAGTGTGCCATGCTTAGGGATAAGTTATCCATGGCAGTTAAGAAAGGAAAGGGGTTGGTTCAAGATAGGGACAACCTAAAAGGTATTCTAAATGAAAAGAACACAGAGATTGAGCAGTTGAAGGTTGATTTGCAGAAGCAAGAATCTGCAGTTTCTGAATACAGGGACCAGATAAATATTTTGTCCAGTGATGTGGAAAGCATCCCGAAGTTGGAGGCTGATCTTCTGGAAATGAAAAGGGAAAGGAATCAGTTTGAACAGTTCTTGTTGGAGAGCAATACCATGTTACAGAGAGTGATAGAGTGTATTGATGGTATTATTCTTCCAGTTGATCTAGATTTTGGGGAACCTATGGAAAAGGTGAAGTGGCTTGTTGGTTATGTCAGTGAATGCCAAGATGCTAAGGTACAAGTAGAGCAAGAATTGCAGCTAGTAAAGGAGCAGGCCAGTATACTAGAAACTAAATTAGCAGAAGCCCAAGCGACTGTAAACTCCCTTGAACAAGGATTATCTTCTTCAGAGGACAGTCTTACTCAAATTGTTGAAGAAAAGAGAGAGTTAGAACATGAGAAAACAAAAGTTGAGGAAGAGTTACAGAAAGTTAAGGAAAAAAATGCTGAAGTTTGTAGTACTACTAAGTCACTTGAAGAGGCCTTATCACAGGCAGGAAAAGATATTTTTGATCTTTCCAATAAGAAAGAGCAGGCTGAAGTTGGTAGAGTTGCTGCAGAGACAGAGTTAGAGAGAGTTAAAGAGGAAACAGCCAGGCAGACAAGCAAATTAGCAGAGGCCAGCACGTCCATAAAGGATCTAGAAGATAAACTATCTCTGGCTGAGAGTAATGTCAATTTATTGACTGAAAAGTATAATGCCGATCAAGTTGTCAAGACTGATATGGAAAATGATTTGAAGAAGCTGCAAGATGAAGCTGAGAATCATGCTGGCAAATTGGTAGGTGCCTCTGCAACGATTAAATCACTGGAAGATGCACTATTGAAGGCGCAAGATGATATTTCTGCCCTAGAAGATGCAAACAAAATTGCTAAGCAGGAGATATCTTCACTTGGTTTGAAGTTAAATTCATGCATGGAAGAATTAGCTGGAAAGAGTGGCAGCTTAGAGAGCAGGTCCCTAGAGCTCATTGGACTCCTTAATGATCTTCAGGTGCATATGAAAGACAAAACTCTATTTCCCAAAATAAAACAATGCTTTGAGAGGAAATGTGAGACCCTGAAGAATATGGATCTCATTCTGAACAAAATAAGATACCACATTGCCATGAATTCTAAAGATTCTGATGGGCACCTTATGATGGAGGTAATATTGTTATAGTCCTCTTTTGGTCTTTATTATTTCCTCATGCTCTGTGAATTCAATACTGATTTAACGTGCGTATATATGCCACCCAAGTCTTCTGAGCACTATGAGATATGTATCCATATATAATTGAAGAAGTTCATGGTGATTGATGCATAATGCTTTGAAACGTGTACCCATTAGAAAATGCACGTGGCTTTTGAGATTAGATATGTGTTGTTTCGTCTAAGCTTTTGGTTCTGTTAAATCATTTTGTATATCTTTCTCTCTCTATTGGTGTATTTGTTAATATGGCTCTGTCTATTTTTTTAATTGTATCTCTCTCTCTCTCTCTCTCTCTCTCTCTCTCTATCTATCTATCTATCTATCTATCTATATATATACACACACACACACACACACATATTGTCTACTTTGTTAATATGCTATTTTTTTCCAGGAAGATCCACTTGTGAGAAAAGCATTCTTGGATGACCTTGAAAATTTTGAAGTTGAACTGGACAGCAGAGAGATTAATGGCACTGATATTGACACCATAATCTCATCATTTGGAAAGATTGTGAAAGGATTTCAGCTGAGAAACAAACACATTGCAGATAAGTTTGATGAATTTTCTTATTCTATTGATGAGTTTATTTCTCCTCTCCATGAAAAAATACTGGAAACAGAGACCTACATAATGACTATTTTTGAACAAATGGACAATATGAAAGAAAAAGCAAATACCATGGAGAAGTTGAAAGAAGAAAAGGAAAATATTATTACCATTTTAGAGAACGATATCAGTGTATTGCTGTCTGCATGTACTGATGCTACCAGTGAACTTCAGATTGAAGTTGACAAGAATATTGGGCAGCCAGGCTCATTTTCTGAGGTCGAAAAGTTAAATATTGAAGCAGATTCACAAGCAGAGCATCATAAGAACAGCAAATATGCAGATGCCGCGCAAAAGTTGATAAATGCTTCTAGAAAAGCTCAAACTTTGATTAGGCAGTTCGAACATAGAAGTGAGCAGGTAGCTGCTACAATTGAAGATTTGCAAAATAAATTGAGAGAAACAACTGTTGCTTTTGAATTGGTTACCGATGAAAGAGACTTAAATAAAAACAGAGTTTTGCAACTGGAGTCTGATAGTCAATTACTGCGAAGTGATTTCAGTGAGCTTAGGGATAGGTTAGAGGGTTATCATGCCCTAGAAGAAAAATTAAAAGAAAAAGAGGCAGAAATTTCATCGATGAACAGTGCTTTGTTCGCAAAAGAAGAAGGTAAAAAAAGTTGAAATCTTTCTTGACTTAAACATATTGCATTTGATTTAACTTGTATATTTTGATATACTTGTTTATGATTTGATTTCCTTTTTCCATTGGCAGAAAGCTCCCTCCTTTCAGCATCTCAGGTGAGAAATCTCTTTGACAAGATAGATAGGATCCAAATCCCCATTGTAGAGTCTGAAGAAGTTGATATGGAGCCGCATACTTCAGCCCCTTCGAAGAAGCTCTTTTACATTATTGATAGTGTTTCTAGGTTGCATCATCATATAAACACTTTGTCTCGTGATAAAGAAGAGCTGCAATCAATCCTTGAAACTAAGGCTCTTGAAATTAAGGATCTGAAAGAGGAAGTCAAACAACTCAATAGAAACTGTGAAGACTCAAAAATGGGCAAGAATGAATTGTTGGAGCTCACCTTTGCTTTAGAAAAAATTATGGATATTTTGGGAGCCAGTGATTGGGTTGTAGATAGAAAATCTAAAGGTATGAAGGAATTGATGCCAGCATTGGAAAAGCATATCATGGCCATTCTTTCAGAATCTGAAAACTCAAAATCTATGGCCCAGGAACTTGGTATTAATTTAGTTGGAAGTCAGAAGGTTATAGATGAATTAACGACCAAGGTTAAATTACTTGAACATTCACTTCAAGATAGGACTTCTGAGCCAGATATTGTCCAGGAAAGGAGCATATTTGAAGCACCCTCATTACCTGCTGGGTCTGAGATAACTGAAGTTGAAGAGGTGGTAAATTTTAATATAGTTTTCTATGCTTGAATTCCTTACATGATGCAATATTAGTGCTGGGTCTGCAGGACCAATTAAGTTAAAAAATTTAATCAATGATTCGTATACTTCAAAAAATTAATTAATTCAGGTAATCCTTTTTCTGGCATAACACAGATGGTTTCAGGTGATTTTGATAGTTGACACTTGTCTCTGTCTTGTGAGATACAATAAAATAGATATATCTTCTAGTGCTTTATCTTTTTCTTGAACTCAATGCTGATGACCTATGAGTTTGTTATGAGGGATTGTTTTTCCTTTACGCATGATGGAATTATATTTGTTTTCTGATTGATCATCTCTTGTCTTATCACGGGTTCTGATACCGTTTAAAGCAATCAATTTAACCCAAAAGCTTAAACGGTTAGGTGAAGGCCACATTAATGGTTTGATATAACATTTCGCTAACATATTCTCAAAGTTGAAATGCTTTTCCTCTAGCTACCAAAAGTAAATATTGAAGTGATTAAGCGAAGTTAGTTCATATATAAAGAGTTTGCTTCTTTACACAGGGATCACTTGGCAAGAAACCAATAGCTCCTGTCCCATCAGCTGCTCACGTGCGAAATATGCGAAAAGGATCTTCTGACCATCTCGCACTTGATATTAATGTGGAGTCTGATCCTTTAATTAACAGTGCAGATACTGATGAGGATAAAGGTAATTATGAGTTTCTCATTAGTGTGAATTGCTTTATTGAAAACTTGAAGACTTAATTCTCGATTTCTTTGCAGGTCATGTATTCAAGTCTCTGAACACTTCTGGATTTGTACCGAAACAAGGAAAGCTCATTGCAGATCGTATTGATGGAATCTGGTAAATTGCTATTTTCTGTATATTTATTTACCAATGGACAATGGTAAAGGAGTATTGGAAATTGCCTGTTTCAGCATTTTAACGTGTAAGCAATAATAAAAAATTTGCACGCTAAAATAGATGGCCATAGATGTTGAAATGTTGAAAGCACAAGAACTGAAATCCTTAAGAGGATATTTTGCGTAGGATCTCAACCAACGCAATGCTGTGTTGAGTGGTAGGACCTAGAAGATGCTTAAGATTCATTGTTGGGGACAGCCTTAAATGAAACTTGTGCCAGACTGTGAAAATGATGCAGGGCTGGTGGTTTCATTCTATGGGAAAATTTAAATGCTGCATAAATAATTTAGAGTTATTCCGGGAACAAATGATCTTACTCTTAGTAACATATCACCTTACTCCTAATAGCATTTTCCTTGGAATAAATGGATTGAAGGTTTCAGCACTGAATAATGGTGCTTGTTTAATATATATCAGGATAAAACTGCTAAAAACCTTTAGCATATGAAAGGTCTCTAAATGTATTCTGTGGCATTGTAGCATCCATTTTTTATTAAAATCACTTAATGAAAATTTAGTAATTCCTTCTATATTATATTAATGTTAATAGTTTCCTTTAATTCAATTTTAATAGTTTAAATGACAGTATTTTCAAACTTTGCAACTTCAACTTTTTATATTTGGGGAAGGATCCGATTACAAATTTTTTTTATAAATAACACTAAGTATGACCGGTCATACACTCTTGATTGAAGTATGACTGGTCAGACATAGTGTAGTCTGTGAGAGTTTGTAAACAAAAAGTTTGTAAATATAACCTTTTCTTTTATATTTTATCATTAAAATTCAACACTAAAGTTCGGGTTTAATTTCTCTGTGCAGGGTATCTGGTGGTCGGATTCTCATGAGTCGTCCCAGAGCCAGGTTAGGACTCATTGGTTATTTGTTCATCATGCATATATGGCTACTTGGAACTATCTTGTAGAAAAAACTGTGATCAAAGCTACATGGAATGCTCAGCACTGAATGTCCTGCATCTGCAAATTGTATTATAGATATAAAATTGTCCCTTTTTATTCAAGTCTCTCTTTTTGCTCCTTAATGAAGCCTAACCTGTTTTTCTCTTGTCTCATCAAATCCCTTATTGATTTCTCTGCAATCACATTTTAGGGATTCAGAGATTCTAGTCTTCAATATTTGGGCTTATTTTTTTGACAGCCTTCATTTTTTTCTAAATGAAGTCCCTCCTCCATTGTATTGGCCTGCATTTGTTTCAATATTAAGGATTGTGGTAGGTAGAAAATAGGGAGATGAATTTTTTCACTAGTTAGTATAATAAAAATGTATAATGATTTTAAGTGTGACTCTTTTCTATCTCATGCATTGATAACAGTTAAAGATAAAATATCTTTGTTTAGCTAATGCAGCAAAATATTGGATTAGCAGCACTGTTCTCTCCTTTTGAAAGGAAAACTCAAATTTGTGTTTTCCTTCTTAGATCTAAGGTTTGTTTGAATAGGCTTCTGTTAAAAAAAAAAATATTTTTTTTAGAAGGAATTTTTTTTTTTTTTAAAAGTTGAAGTTATTTACGTTAAAATAAATAAATACATTTTTATATAAAAAAGATATGTAAAAATATTTTTTCACAGCCTTTGGATGAAAAACACTTATAAGCTTAATAATATCATAATTAAATTTATATTATAATTTTAAATTTAGTTGAATCTTAACATTACTTAATTAGAGAATCTTTTTAAAAAAAATTATTTAATTATTTTGTTCAACGTTAATGACTAAAAAAATTTGAAAAGATGAATAATAGATTATAATAAAAATTTATATTCATTAATGACCAATCATTAACATTATAATAAATTTTTAAAAAAAATTAAAGAAAAAGTGTACGACCTGATTAATAAATTATTTATTATAATACCATTAAAATTAATAAAATATGATTATAAGTATGCACTTTAATAATAATATAAATTTATTTTATATTAAAATTAAATTCTTCAATAATATAATGATGAGTTTGCTTTTTCTGCAGTCACTGCAGATAAGTTATTTGCAGTAAGTCCAATATGATGTCGTATTGGGACGAAAATCATGGTATTTTTGTAATTTTAATTTATTTCAGGATTATAATAGTTTATATATTTATAATTTTTTAAGATTTCAATACCAAAACGACGTCGTTTTGAAAAAAATGCAGATAACTTATCTGCAAGAAACATTTTTTCCTATAATGATAAGTAATTGCATAATATAATAATTTTAAGGAGAATTGGTCAAATTAAACTCAAGGGCAAAGGTCCTTGAGATGAATTTATAAATTAAAATTACAACCATATTCGTACGGTATTGAATCAAGCGACATATGACTTTATGTCAATTTTAATTTTTTTTAGTCATATAATTATACATATTTAAATAATATAATAATTTTAATCGCATAAAATTTATAAACATATAAATTAAATGAATATAAATTACGTACGTGTATTTGTTGGTTTTACCCTCTATTTTTTATTTTTTTACCATGAACAAAATTAGTTAGTGCGTCATTTCAACCAACCCAAACTATCTGAAAGATGAAAATTAAAGGTCATTCAGAAGATTAATAAGCTATGATAATACATCAATTATTATTATTTTTTTAAAGAAAAGCCTCTTCTTCTTTCTTTCTTTTTCCTTTTTTGATAATTTGCACAAAACTTTTATGGTTCAAAAATGTTATCTCTCAAGTGGTTCCATAACGAATCATATACAAAACTATTTAACCCATGTTTTTTCATCCAAGATAGCACACTTGGCTGATCACTTTGACCAAAGTGACATTCATAAGTATCCCTTTCATCCTCTTCTTTTATCATCAAAATATGTTCACTTTCATCAATTAACATATTATTAATTGCTTTCTGGCAAAATATGAAAACAAGGACGGAATTGATTTCAAGTGAAGTAATTAATTGACTTCTACCTAGGTTGCGTTTGTATTGAGTTTTCAGTAAAGTTCTTTTTACGAGTTCCTTATTTTAAAAGTACTTTATACAAAAATTATAGCTATTTAGATTTTTAAAAAAATATTTGATTTTTTAAAAAAATATTTGGCTTTTGGCTTTTTCTTTTTTTAAAAGCTAAAAATTTTAGCTTCCGAAAAAAGTAAGCTTTTTGACTTTTTTTATGACTTCTGTTTTTTTAAAAGCAGACATCCAAACAGATTTTTTTCGAGAAGTGCTTTTTTTCTTAAAAAAAAAATAACTTTTGAAGAAAAAAAGCTCATCCAAACGGACTGCTAGTGCTTTTCTCAGAAGTCATATGAAGGTTGGTTTCAGAACAAATAACCTCGTTTTTTTTTATTAATATCAAATAATAAGATAAAAGTTCTCTCATGTTATAGAGACAATCATATATGGAATCCATCCATTTATAAAAAAAAGATTAAAAAAAAATAACACAAAAATCGATGTATATGTAGGAGAGAAAAACACTCTCCTACAATATAAGGGCCTGTTTGGAGCACCTGATAAGGAAGATAGGATAGGATAACTTATCATATCTTACTTTTATCTCTTGTTTGGTGGGTCAATAGGATATGATTAGCTTATCCTATTGCTTCATTGTATCCTATCTAATACATGATTTCTTATCCTCTGGGGGGAGCTGGGTTAGGATTAAACAAGATAGGATACCAATATTAAATACCCAATATATCCTCACGTTACCCAATATATCCTCACTCTACCCAATATATTTGTATTTATTGCATTTTATTCTATTTTTTCTTTCTCCTTCTACGTAATCTTATCAGATTGCTAATCATATCAGCCTCATATCATATCATACCCTTATCAGTCTCATATCATATCTTACTCTTATCCTATCCTGTCCACCAAAAAGAGTCCTAAAAATATATATATTTTTTTTATATATTGCTTTTAAAAATAACATCCAAACATATAAATAAGAGCAGCTTCTAGAACTACGTCAATTTATTTACCGTAAATAGCTAACAGTGATTTTGTAACGGAAGGAGGTTATTGGAGATTTGGAGGTGACTCTTTTCCATATAACAAAAATAAAATTGAAGATAACATTAACAGGAACAGGAACACCAAATCACCCGCGTCTTGGACGAGTTGGCCCCGCAGACCAAACAGCTCGTCTGCGCTGCACTTTGATCCTTTTCTTGTCCTTTTTATAAACTCTTGCTTTTTTTTATTTTTTTTTATTTTAACATTTCAATTGTTTCTTCTTCCTTCCTCTCTATTCATTCTCCCTTGTGCCATTGAATATCACAAAGCTTCAATCTCATGGCTTCGGTATGATCTTCTTCTCCATCTCTATCTTCTAAATTACCATTCATGCACGTTTTTAATTTTGTCGTTTCTAAAAATTTACATTCTCTTATTTTAATTAACGACAAAATAATGTTTGGTTATGAGAGATAAAGAAAGAAGAAAACAAAAAAAAGTTTCCAATTTACATCTTTGTATCATAAATAATGGCTAAAAAATTTGACAATTGATAAGCATGAATCATTTATCAATTCAAAAGTTCAAAAACAAATGAGAACCCTTTCTATCATAAATTTTGTGCAATATAATTTTTCATGCAATAGGAGACATTTTATCTCTCACCGTAGACACAAAAATATTGTGGGTCCCATCATATTAAAAACGAAAAAAACACGAAGCATATTTTTTGATGGATCAGCTGGAGAAAAAATGTCTCTCTAGTAGTAAGAGAGATATATTACCCGGCTATGAAAAAAATTTAAAAACAATTGTTGAGATTTTGATCAATTAAATAAGGGTTTTATAAGTGTTATGTTATAGGAAAAATGATTGTGTTATGTTATAGAGATTTGTTTTGCATGCCGTAGTTTTTTTTTTTTCTTCAAAACATGCGAGTCCTATAAAATATTGTTTGTGTAGGAAACTTTGTGTAGTCATGTTAAATGATGAATGTAAATCTAAATAAGTGTTTGGTATACACATTCATATATGTTGCAGTATGATGAACAACAAGGAAAACCTCTACCAAAGTTTGGGGAATGGGATGTTAATGATCCAGCCTCAGCTGAAGGATTCACAGTTATATTCAACAAAGCAAGAGATGAAAAGAAAATTGCCTCAGCATCTGGAAGATTTCCTTCTCAGCGAAGACATGATTCCCACTATCGTAAGGATCATAAGAATTCCTCAAAGGTAACTAAATTAATGTACACACATTTGTATTGATAATAAACGAGGGAAGGATCTGACCTTTTTTTACAAATTACATTAAGTATGACCGGTCATATATTTTTGATTGAAGTATAACCAGTTATACTTAATATAATTTGTAGACAAAAAGTTTATAAATATAACATTTTCCATAATAATAATAATCATCATAATTGTGAAGCTGAATTATATATACATGGTTTTGGGTGCAGAAAAAATGGTTTTGCTTTAGCCTTTAACAAGGGATAAGATGTGTTTTTTCTGCTGCGGTGCGTGTATCATGATTCTCAATCTCATCAATTTTCTTCTGAGGCCAAGATGAAGTTGAAAGAAAATAAAATAGTGCAGCATGCTCAAATCATTATTGTAGCTTCTGGTTGGTTTCATGCATCAAGCTACTATTATAAGCAACATCTAAAAATACATTATGTAAATATATGAAGGGTTTATCATTTATCATTTAACATAATCACAAAAATTTTCCTACACACACAACATTTTGTGGGCCCGCAGCAAAAAAAAAAAAAAAAAACTCTGACACGCAAAACGAATCTCTATAACATAACACAATCACTTTTCCTACAACATAACTCTTATAAAACTCATATATGAATCAATGACAACCTTTTTGCAATTGCGGAAATCAGTTTTTTTTTTTTTTTTCTTCCTAACTTTTCCAATGATGTAATGTTTTGTTGTACTCACCTAGGAAATGTTGGTCAAGCGTTTTTACTTTTTTGATTAGTGTGTATAAGATATCTTTATAAAGGCGTCTTTTATTTAAATGTCATAATCACGACCCAAATGGAAACAAAAGGGGATTGTTTACACCAGAATCATATTGGTGACCATGTTTGGTTGAAGGTTGAAAAACTGATGATGGTTTGATTTGGATTGGATACATAGAAATATAGGGAAAAAGAAATATAATATTGTAGGAAAGTGTTTAGGTTATGTTATAGAGATAAAAATTGTGAGATTCATATTTATTTTCAAAAACCAAAAAAATAAAAAAGTGTGGGTCCTACAATCTCTATCTCTATAATATAATCTAAACACTTTCTTACAACATTATACTTTTATTTCCCAAAAATATAATGGGTTATATTTATCTTATCTTGTATAAGATAAACAAGTTTTCTACCCATACAAAGTGGAGGTAGATCCCACATCTATTTTTTTCTCTCCTCTTATATGTGGGTCTCACTTGTAATTTTATTTCTATAATATGATATAAACATTTTCCTACAACATAATATAAATATAGGATTCGCTTGTTCTGCAGTTACTGCATATAAGTTATCTGCATTAAGCTCAATATGACGTCGTTCTAGGACGAAAATTATGGTATTTTTGTAATTTTAATTTATTTCAGTGTTATTATAGTCTTTATAATTATAATTTTTTAATTTATCAATCCCAAAACGACGTTGTTTTGAAAATAAATACAGATAACTTATCTGTATTAACTGCAGAAATATTTTTCTCATAAATATAACCCAAATATAATATATCTTGGCTAGCGATGATGTTAAATGCTGAAGACGTGGGCTTCTAGATGAAACATGGCGTTTATTTTTTTAATTATTGGTTTACATTAATCAGCTTTTTTCCAATGAAAATTAATTTGATATGTGACATAACACCTTTTGTCTTTTGATACTGTTTTATCGAGATTAATTTACATACAGATTACAGAAGCAGATAAAAGAGGGGGGAATATTGACATATTCAATTCCTCAGACTCCGATGTTTTGGAGGAATATTTACGTTTTTGAATCCAAATATTAAGATAATTAACTATCATGTTTGTTTGTTCCTTGCAACATGTGGTTTGTCATATTCATTACATTCAATTTTTTAACTTAAATACTATCTCAGACCCGATTTACTTGTAAAAGTAAAATAAAATCTCTCTCTTTCTCATTATTTCCATACTTCTACATGAAAATTTTAAATTGGTATATTTAATACTTCACAATTGTTCTTTTAACCTTTCAATACTTATAAGTTATGTAGCATCGATACTGACACGAGACACGATACGACACGACACGTTAATTCTAAAAAAAAGTTAGATTTTGAAACGTTAGGACACGTTTTGATATTAAATATTATTTTTAATTTATGTAATGTATATTATATTTAATACTCAATAATTTAACAAAAAAATAAAGTTAAACTTATAATACCCATCAATTTTGCAAAGAAACATAAAATATCTCAAGTATTTTCAATTAAACTCAATAAAATGATAATCGTAGTCTAACGAATTTAATAATTGGAACTAAAAACGCAACACAACATAACATTTGAACCTTTTTTTGAGTTTCTACAACGCGTGTTGAAGTGTCGGACACGACAAGTCAAGATTTTTGAAATGTTGGTACTTCATAGTTTATAAGAGGCATACAAGTTTAGATATCAAAGTAAAAAAGTTTTAAACCAAAAATAGATTAAAATTAAACCCTTTAATCAATTGAATCATATCATTATCACCGGTGTTTTAAAACCCCACCCCACCCCCCGGGTTGACCCGGGTCAACCCTGACCCCTCCCCTCTGAGGGTTAGAGTCACAAGTTGGACCTCATATGCACATCGACCCCTCCGACTCTCAAAACCCGACCGAGTTTGAGTGACTCCCGGGTCAGAGGGGTCAAAACATGTTTTTTTTATAAAGAAAATTCCATGAAACAACGTCGTTTTATTAAAAAATAAAAATAAAAATGCTTGCAAACCTAAATCTAATCGTTCTCTTCTCTCCAAACGACCTAGACTTGTGGTATCTTGATAACTTAGTATCATTAGAATATGAGTTTTGTACTTTGGTATCTTGATACTTTAATTAGATTGTATAATATTGACTTGTGGTTATAATTGGTGAATTATGTTAAAGATATTTTGAATCTTTGATGATTGGTGATTTGCTTTTTAATATTTTCATATAGGATATATATATTTATATTTTTTTAATATATAAAACCGGGTCAGTGTAGTGACCCCGTGACCCCCCGGTTGAACCCGTGACCCTGTGACCCCTGACCTCGGCCGAGTCGATGACCGGGCCAGGTTTTTAAACGCTGATTATCACTCGTTACCAACCAGATTCTGAAGCCTAAATAGATTCATCTAATGTGATTTTGGGTTTGAACCTCTCTCTTTCTTTTTTTTGATAGACAGGGTTTGAACCTCTTTATCCAGGAGTTCTGACCCTAATACCATCTATAATTTTAACCAATAAAATTAATTAATTTTTGTAACTTATTGATATTATAATTAATGAATGTTTGATATAATTGATAATTGATGTAAAATTGAATTTGATCAGTCAAAACTAAAGGCAATTATTATAAGGAAGGGTACCACTCAAAACTAATTTAAACCCCATTTGTAAAATATTAAAGTGGGAGTGTGAAGATCAAGATCTAGAAGAGATTGAGTTTAATGAACTACCGTACACGTTAACTACTCTTTGTATTGGGATTTGTTAAATAAAATAATAATAATAAAAAACTTAAAAGCCAGAGTCACATATTGGGAAATTCTGAAGCAGGCAATGTGTCAAACACCACGTGGAAGTGAAGGACTATGTTGACTCGGAAAAAACGAGGAACAAAACAGTGTCAGCTTCGATTCAATGTAACTGTGCGAAAAACACTGAACACCGAATTTGTATTCAGATGAAAACAGAATGGCGAGCTGTGCCGTGGAAGGAGGGTGCCCCAGCGACTACGTTGCCATTGCTATATCCATCGTCTCCTTCGTTGTGTAAGCTTCTCTTTCTACCAATCAAGCTAAGTGTGTGTGTGTGTGTGTGTGTGTGTGTGTGTGAGAGAGAGAGAGAGAGAGAGAGAGAGAGAGAGAGAGTAGGAAGAATTGGCCTTTGGATATGTATCTATGTGGTTGGATTTGTAAAGGGTCATAATTATTGTGCCAAATTAGCCACCCCATTGCCTGTTTGATGATATGCCTCCATGAATTTTGAGGTCTGATTAACAAGTTCTGATATTATTTATATACTCTTAAACCTTTGGGATTGCATGTTAGTTTTCCACCATGCCCATTAATTAGAAACTGCCTTTTCCTTTCTGATTTGCTTATTGATTAAGGAAATTTTCTTGGTTGGCATCTCTTTTTGATGGTTTGGTTTGTCCTTTAATCTCATTGTTATAGTATCATTCGTTTCAAAATAATATTTAGAAAAAGTATATAACATTGGTATTTTATGCATATGCTATATTGGTTGGCTTCTATCTTTCAGGCTTCTCTTATGGTCAATATTTCCCTTCCTAGTTCACAAGGTTCCTCGTACCACAGGCAGTGGCTTCTGGATACCAGTAATTCAAGTTGTTGCCAGCTTCAACCTCCTTCTATCACTTGTGGTAGAAAGAAAGTTCTTTGTCTCTTATGTTATTTATTTTCTGTAACAACTTAATTCCCAATTTTAGTTGTTCAGTTGTTACTGCAGTATCAGCTCAGTGTCCTGTTTGTTTTCAAGCTTAGCTATCCTATGTTTATTTATTATCCAGATGTCATTTAATATCTTGAAATTTGAAGAGAGGCATTGGTGGCGGTCATGCTATGCGTGGGCAGGTTATCCTTCTTTTTGCCATATTTTCAGACTTGTTTATGCTCCATATTCTAACATAAGAATACTTGTTTGTATAAAGCTATACTTCTTCTGTTTATTTTCAGTCTGGGGTGAAGGTCCACTAGGATTTGGTTTGCTATTGAGCTGTCGCATAATACAAGCCTCCCAATTATATTTTATCTTTGTCAAGTAAGTGACAACTTGATATTGAGTTATTACTTATTGGGCCCTATAGCTGCCAGTTGCTACCTAAGCATCTCTTAACCGTTCAAGTCAAGAAGATAGCCTAAGTTCATCATCCATAGTCTAAAGCAGTTAGATTGTATTTTCCCCAGCACATAGCAAATAACCTGTTGAATATATCATTGTAAGATTCTGTTTATCTGATTGGTTATCACTGGTGAAGCTATGATTCACTTAAGCTCGTGGAGGCTTGTGAATTTTTTACTGATGTGATTATTTGTAGGCATTTTGACCATAATTAATTGGCACTTTATCTAGTACTTCAAGAACTCATAATCTTGTTTTCTGTAGCTTTTTTTTTTTGGGTATTCACTGCACTGCTTAACCAGTGCTAAAGGAGTTATCATCCGTTTATCAATTGTGTGTTGAATTTTACTTATTTCAGGAGGCGTTTACCTCTGATCAGATCATATTTTTTTCTTCCACTTATTCTTCTTCCCTGGATTGCTGGTGCTGCTGGTAATAATCTGAATTAATTTGAATTTACTTATTACTGTAGTTTTTATTTCATAGAATTTGATGCTTGAAGTAGAGGCAGTAGGTTATATTTTTCTAACTAATGTTTTTTGTCCATAGAACTTCATTTTTTTATCTCTTTATATCTATTATCTTCTGTTCTTTTCCAAATTTTGCTGGACTTTGTCTACTTCAGTTGAGTCAGTTATTCCATTTCAAAGTGTTTCTGCAGTATTTCCATAATATTCTCAACATCCTGTTGAATTTCTGGAAAAGATTACCAGAAACCCCCTATCCCTAACCCTGTCTCTTTTTTTATGCTTTCTTTCCTCCATATATTTGTAATAAAACTATTCATTCATGCTTTAGTTATCCAGTTGAAGAAGGCTCTAAGCAATCGCTGTCACATGGGGGTTCAGTGGACCATCCCATTTGTATGCCTTCATACACTGTATGTTGCCACTTTGGTTGGGGTTACAGCTGCTGTTCATCATATAGAGTTCAGGTTTGATGAACTCAGAGACCTTTGGCGAGGAATACTTGTATCAGCTGTGTCCATCGGTACACTTTTTCCTACGTTATATAAGAGACTGTTATTTCTTTATTTAATTTGAAGCTCTTAGCTTCCTTCCAAGGCCATTATTAAGGTTATTGAATTTAGCATTAAGTCAATAACAAGTTTATGTTTTCACCAAATAACTTTCCTATCAAAATGAGTAACATTCAAGTTAAAAAGCTGATGCAGAAATCAATATTAATTCTTCAATGCATAATTTTTAACCAGTGTTCGTAGGGAACTGGTTAGCAAAAGCCTTAAGTACAGGATAGTGTACTTTCTGAAAATGGATTATATATTATGTAGTCCCTTTAAGTAGCAACAATTTTTTAATCAAATTTAAAAATGGCTTCCTGGATCAAGGACAGCTGATATTCATTTTGCATAGGCTGACCCTGTATCCCAGAACTTAATTTTTTTTAAGACTATCGTCATAAAATATGAGCTTGGTTATTTTCTGGATGTCTCAGATTGTTGGCCTCAATAAGTTAACCTTCGCTCATTTGTTGTCAGTTGTGTGGGTTACTGCTTACATACTGAATGAAATTCATGACAATATCTCATGGCTTCAAGTTGCCTCCAGATTTCTGCTTTTAGTTTTGGTATGCTTTCCTACTGCTTCTTCTGTTCATAACTGTGAAATGACAGACATTTTTAGTTGATTGAAAGTTAAAATTCAAGTCCTAACTTTCTGAATATCTTATTTACTTACATCTTCTGTTGGTTTTATTTGAAGGCCAGCATACTTGTACTGGCTTTCTTTTCAATATCAAGTTCACAACCACTGCTCTCGCAAATCAGCTTGAGGAGAAGGGAGTCCAGAGAATTTCGCACAATGGGCCAGGCTCTAGGCATACCTGATAGTGGGGTATTAGCACAAAGTGAACCAATTTCAAGGGTAGATCCGTCTGAACCATTGGATAAGCTTCTATTGAACAAGAGATTCAGGCAGTCTTTTATGGCATTTGCTGATAGGTAAAATATCCTTCTGTGTGCTCAAGTATTTTGGCAGACATTTCTGGGAATTATGGTTTCTCTTGGGGACCGATAATAAATGTCTTATTTAAGAGAAGTAAATCAGGTGAAATGGGTGATTTTTTTCATTACATTAATGGAAGATAACAGATGTTAAATTTGCACAAAGGAATCCTGGTTGAGATAAATCCTTTGTACTCTTGTCCCACATGGTCCAGAAAGTTTTGGACCTAAACCTCAAAATAGAAAAGTAAAGAACGAAGAAAAAAAAAAAAGACTTATCTTTGTTTAATCAAAAAAGTAATGTTGTTTTAATTATTTACAGTTGCTTGGCTGGGGAGAGTGTGCACTTTTTTGATGAAGTGCATGAGCATAGTAAAATACCTGAAGATGATTGTGTGAGAAGGATCTATATGGCACGGCATATTATTGAGAAGTACATAGTTGCAGGTGGCTTCCTTCTCTTATCATTTCCCTTGCTTGTTTTCCTCCTTGACGCCCAGCTTTTTCCATCTTCAAAATTGTAAAACCAGATTTCTCTCAATCTTTTTATGAACACAGCTATTTGATCTAGAGATTCTAGACACATTTGCATGTCTCATCATCTATGGGGTTTTCAGTGGATGAGTTGAAGTTAACAAAAGTTTAAACTTGATATTAAAAAAAAAAAAGCCATGTGCTTGCAAGCTTTCCTTCCAAATGTGGGGCGTTTTGTCTCATATTTGCTGGAATGTAATTTTACAGGTGCAGCTATGGAGGTGAACATCTCTCATAGAAGCAGACAAGAAATTTTGTCAACTTCCAATCTCGCACGCCCTGATCTCTTCCATAATGCACTTAATGAGATTATGCAGCTGATGAAAACAGTAAGTAAGCTCCTTAGATTCAAAACAATTTGATGGGACCCCTCCTGATTAAAACTAACCTGGCTGTATAGTTTTCATCTAAGTAATATATATTCCACTTCCCCAGAACTTGGCAAAAGATTTTTGGTCATCATTGTTCTTCCTTAAGTTCCGGGAAGAATCCAATATGAGATCTAATGGCTACGAGCTGGAGGAAATGACAGGATGGAACTTTTCTCCAAGGTTGAGTTCTGTGCATGGTACAGATGATCCCTTTCACCAGGACCATCTTCTGAAGAGCTCAAGCTGTTGCAACGACACTGACTCATGACTTGGTAAGGCTGCGTATATCTTGGTCCTTCCCTATACTCTGCACCTAACGGAAGCTTTATAACACCAGACTGCCCTTAATATTAGATTGGTGTTGCCTTTGCAAACCGGTTTTACTTTTGTCCTGTTTTCCTACAACATAAATGGTTAATGTGTGAAGGTTGCAGGTTCGATTCATATAAGGTAACACTGTCTACTATAGACCCTTCCCAGTTCCCACGACTCTGGGCAGTGTGAGTTTTGTAGCACCGGATTGCCTTAGTACATATATGGTTAGTGCCCACAGAAGATGAATACCAAAGGAGAGTTGAGAGGTGTAAGGAAGAAGTAACTGTATTTTTGTTTTCATTGTTCTTACTTTTAGTCAATAGTCAACATCTGTACAGTTAGGCTAGGACCATGGTTCAACTGAATAGCTTCCTCAGTTAAGCGTACAAGAAATTAAAATGTTGTATCATTGAATGTAGCTAACAAAATCCTTGATATGATGATGTCTTTGATTATGGTATTTACTTGAATTGCTCTTAGCCTTTAGGTACCCCATCGATTGTTATTTGTAATAAAAGGAAATGTTTATTACATTTCTCTTAACCCTTCACATCTCTCACATTTGAGTAGGTGACCCAAGCAGTTTTTTATTTTTATTTATTTTTTAAAAAAGAAGGGGGATCTACTGTTAGTAAATAATAAAAATTATATAATATACGCTTGTGAATATAGGATTTATATGTTCTCGGGAGTTCATGAAAGAGATGCTGCAAGGGGTGGTAGATTATTGTGCTCATATGAGGATAAAAGCCATAGGACATGGGATGTGTGCACAATCACATTTAAAAGAATAGGGTTTAAAAAGGGGAAAAATTACTCGTGTTAACAGTGATAACTTTCTCTCCTACACACCCTTCGATATCATCTTTTTTTTTTTCCAGATGGTAGAGTTCACAAATTTGTCTCTATGACATGAGATAACTTATCTCCTTTAACATGAGATTAATAAAACCCTTTAAAAAATGTATACATAGGATCTTAACCTGATATTTATATATGGAGTGACATGTAGGCGTGGAGTTTAAATCAGAGTTAGACCGGTGGCGGAGCCATGTGTTGTCTCGGTGTGGGTTCGGTGCGGGTTAAATTTTAATAAATTGTACTTATTATGTATAATTATATAATTAATTATAATTTGGCCCGAGTTACAATTTGTAATCTGGTCTTATCTAAAACTTAAAATATTTTTGGTAAAAGATTTGGGTAAATTGTATTAAGTGATGTGTTCAATTTTTACTTATATAATATATATATATATATATATATATAGTAAAATTAAAAAATATTTAATAAAATTATAATTCTTCTTAGTGCTGCCTGCTCATGTGCTCTGTATTATTATGATATGAATTAATTAAAATTAAGAAAAATACGATTTAAAAAATGTATACATGGAACCTTAACCTGTTATTTATATATGGAGTGACATGTAGCTGTGGAGTTTAAATCAGAGTTAGACTTTTGAGGGATAGGATAACAAATCATAGGGCCCTCAATACTTAAATTGATCACTTATTCAAGTCTATTACTAATAAATGTCGTGGGATCTATAGATTGACTTTGTAAATTTTCTTGTGACATTGTGGAGGTTATCCATAATTACTTTCCAAGGACATTTAACAAATTTTAATTTTAATTTTTTTTTTTTTGGTATCCTAACAAATTTTAGTTTTAACTTCTCAGTCGGAGTCCCGTTATATAATTTTTGAATTTCAATTCCTATTAGTTTCTTACGTGCCAAAATGAATGGCTACCAATGATTCAAAAAATGATAATATTCTACTACCGAAGTAGTTGTTTCTTTTTTCTTTTTCTTTTTTGTACTTTGTAGCCATTTATCGGCAAACAAAAAATTTAAGAATGATAAATCACTGTTTTCTATGACTGCAACTGGAAATGTATTTCTGCCTTCTTGCAAACTCAACACTGAAATTCAGGATGAAAATTTGTAGCGTCGTGAAATCACAAACTAAAAATTGCCACCGTCAATATCACTTTTATGGTGGAGACGTCTGAAATGTTCCGAAGGATTATGCATACCAACTGAGGCCGTTTGTATTGGCTTTTCAGGGAAGTGTTTTTTTATAACTTTCTTATTTTAAAAGTATTTTTTATAAAAATTACAGTTATTTAAATTTTTAAAAAATTATTTGATTTTTGAAAAAAATATTTGACTTTTTACTTCTGTTTTTTTTTTAAGCTAAAATTTCTAGCTTCCGAAAAAAGTAAGTTTTTGACTTTTTTATGGCTTCTGTTTTTTTAAAAACAGGCATGCAAACAGACTTTTTTCGATTTGTGTTTTTTTTTCTTAAAAAATGCAGCTTTTGAAGAAAAAAAAAAAAGCCATCCAAACGGACTTTTAATATCTTCAAAAAAAAGTCAATTACTTTCAAGTTAAGAAAAAGACTTTGGAGAGGCCTGTTAGAAATATAAATTACTCTTTTACTCATATCTAATAACAAAAATAAACATTATTATATACATGCACAAACAAATCCGACCCACACTTAGGACATGATTCGCTCACATGGCATAAATTGTTCCTCTTATTTTGGTTCAAGGTTGGTGAACATTTAATAATACCAACGATTTGGGCAGCTAAATAAAGTTTATAAGATTCCAAAAAAAAAAAAAAAAGTTTATAAAGTTGGGAAATTCTTTGAGTTCATTAGCAACTAGTATATTTCAGAATGGAGGGGCTTGATTTCTTCCTTGTAACGACAAGTACCTTAGGCTTCATCTCTATATGCAGAGTTCTTTTTCATTTTCTCAGGTGGGTATGGATAATGTTCTTGAGGCCACCAAAACAACTCAAAGACTATGGTTCATGGGCTATAATTACTGGCTCCACTGATGGAATTGGCAAAGCCCTGGCCTTTGAATTAGCATCTAAAGGACTTAACCTTATTTTGGTTGGTCGAAACCCTCTAAAACTTGAAGCAACATCAAAGGAGATAAGAGATAGACATGATGGGAAAGTTGAGGTCAAGTTTGTAGTCATAGACATGCAAAAAGATAATGAAGAAGAAATAACAAAAAGGATAGAGGAAGCAATAGATGGTTTAGATGTAGGTATGCTGGTTAATAGTGCAGGCTTGGCATACCCTTATGCCAGATTCTTTCATGAAGTTGATTCTGAATTGATGGATGCTATTATAAAAGTGAACGTGGAGGGATTAACTTGGATCACAAAATCAGTGCTTCCCAGTATGATCAAGAAGAAAAAGGGAGCAATCATAAACATTGGTTCTGGTTCCACTGTTGTTCTTCCTTCATATCCTCTAGTCACCCTTTATGCTGCTACAAAAGCGTAAGTATGTTGGTCCAAAAAGTGTTTGTTTGATTTTCCAAATCATATGCTTTTTCTTCACCTCATATATGCTTTTTCCAAATCTCATATATGCTTTGTAAAGGTCCTTAACTACAAATTTTAGTATTTTCACACCATTGAATGTTTGTGTATGTATAACTATGAGATATACTTGCTGTTTTTATAGATATCTTGCAATGTTCTCGAGATGCATCAGTGTGGAATACGAGCATCAAGGAATTGACATCCAGTGTCAGGTTCTCTCTGTTGCCTCTCCTCTTTTTCCTTTCTTTCTGTTTGATGGGAAAATTGTGATATTGCCAATTCATCCAGAGATTTTGATCATCAAGACCCTTCAAGCCTTCACTGGTTTTTCTAAAGGAATCAGATTTACTAGCAAAGGATTCATTAATTAATGATGGGAAGAACTTAGATGTTTAACTTAATTTTTTATTTTTATTTTTTGGTAAACACAAAACAATTGATTTGAACGTGACAAAAACTTACAACAAGTGCTTGATCTTGATCTGTGTTCTTAAATTTATATTAAAAAATGATTTTTTGACTTGTTATTTAAAGGGGTATACCAAACTTACTCAGTGATATTTTTCGATGTGGTGCTGAGCTAGGTTCCATTATTTGTGTCAACAAAGATGACCAAGATGAGGGCCTCTCTTTTTGTTCCAACGCCAGAAACGTATAGCAAAACATGCACAAGATGGATTGGCTACGAAAAACTGGTTATGCCATACTTCTTCCATTCTCTTCAGTGGTTTCTCATAAGGGCAATTCCTGATGCATTCGTGGATTCATATATGCTTCGTTATTTTCTTTACTGGCGCAGAAAAGGGCTCTTCAAGGACTCCAAAACTAAAGCATTAGCAGCATCTAATTCTGAAGCAAATTTACATCATTCATGATGGTACAAATTGAGTCCTAGTTTAAACAACATATCTATAAAATTGAGAGTGATGATGGAGGTCCCAATGAATATTAATATCTTTTGTTTTTTTTTTCTAGATTTACTCGTTATTTGTAATATTTTCTTGTTTTCTTTATTAAGTTACTACTTGGTTGGTTTCCCATCTTTTGTGGTCATCTTTTGTCTTCTAACAATCTAAACAACGTGGATTAGTTGGTAGAGTTGTTAAACAAAATATTTCCTCTGCACTTACCACATGGCAATAGTGCACTTAACACATGGCAAGACTAACAATATATATTATTTATACAAAAAAAAAGAGAGTAACAATATATTATCATTGGGAAATATTAATCTCATGTTGTAAGAGATTAGTATCTCATGTCATAGACACAAAGTATGTAGGATTCACTCTTTTAAAAAAAATAAGTGAGCTCCATATACTTTGTATCTATGACATGAGATAACTAGTCTCCTGCAATATGAGACTAGTATTTTCTATTATCAAGATTGATGCAAGTTGAGATTAGATTAGAGTTTCCTGTTAAAAAATAAGCTCAATCTTTTATTTCCTAAATTTTTAGGAGAAAAAGGAAAGCTAATTGTTATATTTGAATCACAACATTAAGGAAACAGATCTTCTCATAGTTTATTTAACATAACCATACTATGTAAGAGAATTTTAACTATCAATGATTATGATGATGATTTTATAAAAAAAAAATTATATTTTTTTTCTCTTATTCTTTATCACAATTGATTTATTCTTGGATGGTTAGATTCTCATACATAATATAATCATGTTCAATAATAGATTAGATGATCCACCTCCACAAGTTACTAATGAGGACTTTATCTATTTTACGTGATAAATTATAAAGAGAGCAAGCACTTTTGGTAAGATTAATCACTATGAGGTTACGAGTTGCAGTCTACGTGAACCCACCATAAAAGCTTAAGACTTTAAATATAAATTTTTGTACCCTCAGATGAAAAAATAAAATAAAATAGAATGAGTGTATTTAATCTACATGAAAAAGAGAATCCCGATCCATTACTAAGATTTCCACTTCACCCTAAAGACTTTTGCAAATCTTGCACTTTTTCTTACTAATCCATTAATCTCAGAAAGTAACGCCCAACCGCCAACCCCAAGAAGAGTTTCAAGCTGAGTTGCCATTAAAAAATAACGTTTCACCAACTTTCTGTTTGTTATATATATTTGGGGTGCATGATTTTTTTACATTTGCAATAACATTATGAATGTATTTCCTATATATTTAATGTTGTTTGGGTTATTTTTAATGACGAAATCAATGTTAATAAAATGGAACCGGCCATTTCACCAAAAAAAAAAATGGAACCGGTCCAACCGGGTCGACCCGTAAATTAGTAAATCGAGCATATAATCGGTCTGAGTAAAGCAATGAACCGGTTATACATCAGAATCGGTGCGACCTGACTGATTTTCATGAAAATTGATGACCTTCGGTAACCCGACCCGGTCCTAAAAAAAAATTATAATGGACATATTTGAGTATTTTTTGTTTATTGACTTACATAAGTAATGTACTTAATCTCAATTATGCACTATGCAGGAAATTTTAATTTGATTTATAGTTAGAGATGTCGTTTACTGAACCTGAAGTCACGTATCACAGTTATTATATTTTTATTTGATCCTTTATTTGATAATAATGTGTATTTATTATTTTTTATATTAAAATATTTAAAAAAATTATCATTTTTTTGAGATATTTGAGTATGTTTATAATCTTTTAATATAAATTATAGAATTGCATATAATTATCGGGTCATGCGATTCAACAGTGACCCACTAGTTGAAACCAATAACTTAGTAATCCAGTACCTCGATCGAATCAATGACTAAATCAATTTTAATAATATTGGACGAAATTTCGTAAAATGAAGGTTTAAGTTGGTCTATTGCTAGTAACTACAAACCTTTTTGTTTTTAATTTAATAGACGTTGGATTATGTACCTTAAACCTTGAAGCCTTCAAGGTTGTTTTATTTTATCTTATAATTCATTAGTATAACTCATTAGTAATATAATTCAAAAAGCATTCAGAGCTTTTTTATTATTCATGTAATATATTTATTTTATATACTATAGTCTATACATATGGATTAATGAAATTTCTTTTTAATAAAAAAAAAAACTTAATAAGATTATAGCTTGAAATTTATATAAATGAAATACAATTCTTTATATGGTTTTTCTAATTTCGAAACAACCATAATTATAAAAATACTTTTAGAATAAAATATTATGCATATTTTTTTTAGGGGTTTATATCTATCATTTAACATTACCACAAAAAATTTCCTGCACACACAACATTTTGTGTGACCCGTATGTTTTGAAAAAAAAAATTACACCACGCAAAACGAATCTCTATAACATAACACAATCATCTTTCCTACAACATAACTCTTATAAAACTCATTTTTTTATGCATGCTATACCTACTTTTTAATACTATTAAATTAAAATCTTAACAAAAGAAAAAAAATAGTGAAAATTAGTTGGGATTCTGATCAAATGGTGTGGGAGAAGAGTAGGCAATGGCAGAGCCACGTTGGGGGTAGAGAGGGGCCTTGATCCAAGTTAAATTTATAAAATTAGCTACGGTTTCAACGTGGCTAATGAAACATGGCTAGTTTACTGGTTTATTTTCAAAATATTAGTCACATTTTAGCTTGGGTAAATAACCATGGCCCGACTAAATTTTTTTGACCTGAGCTGAATTGCTACGCTGATCCAGTCACTGAGAGTAGGTAGAGTAGAGAGGTAAACAACACAATATCCTATCTCATACTTTTATACGAAATTCTTCTTATTCTTTTTTGAAATACAAGGAAATTTAAACAAAACAACTAAAGACACAATCTGGGCATAGCCACACCAACAGCATCATCCCTTGAAATGGATTCGCAATAAGTTGGAGGCTCTGTAAATTCTTGCAAATCCCAGTCGAAGGAATGAGCGTGACCAGCTAGAGCATCCGCAAGACGATTTCCTTCCCTGTAAGCATGGAAAACATGAACAAGCCAGTCCTTTTGCAGGTAATGGCGAATCTGAAGAACCAAAGTAGCCATAGGGTATTCCTGATTACAGTCTTTGTTGATAAAATCAATAGCCACCACCGAATCTCCTTCCAACCACACTCTACGATAATTTTTTCTCCAAGCTATCTGAAGTCCTAGAAGGCATCCCCAAAGTTCTGCTGTAAGAGAATTACCCCATCCAAGGTATTTTGAGAAGCCAACAATCTAACTCCCAGTATCATCCCTAAGAACACCTCCACATCCAGTACACATTCCTCCCATTGTACAAGACCCATCTACATTGATCTTTATCCAACCATCTGAAGGAAAGGTCCAGCGAATATATCTCTCCTCTTTATTCCTTCGATGAAGACCAGAAGACATAAAAGAACTCTAGACTGTGACACATAATCATGGTAACACCAAATTTGTCGAACAATGCTATAAGCATTAGCCTGAGATCCTTCAAAAATCATTTTGTTTCTGGTATTCCAAATGAACCAGCAAGCAATACCAAAAATCAAAGGCCGCTCCTGATTCTCTCCCATATCTCCAACCACGAGGTTCGACTGCAACCAATCATTGAACGACTGGGAGAAAAAATTCCCTTGCTTTTCTTGCACCACAAGATGTTTCCAAACATCTCTAGAAATATGGCAATCACGAATAGCATGGATTGAATTCTCCTCTGATACTAAGCATCTGGAACACATGTTTGAATCAGTCATATGCCTCTGAACACGCTTCACATTAGTCAAGAGTTTATCCCCAACAAATAGCCAAAGAAAGCATCTGATTTTTCTCAAGACCAGGCCATTTCCAAATTTTGTCCCATGGAAATATATTATCTACCACTTTCGTTTGTGCAATGAGAGAGTAAGTTGTCTTCACTGAAACTTATCGTCGCTAGTCCTTGTCCAAATCACTCTATCTGGACCACCTTGTAAGAAGGGAGGCACAAGGTTGTGAATTTTTTGGCAAACTAAGCTAGGCAGCAGATGCTGAAATAAATTCCAGTTCCAACTCCCTTGACTAGTTACACACCCAGCCACTGTCCATGAAAGACAATCTTCAGGAATCAGTTGCACCGCAAGCTGGGAAAGAGGAATACAATTAAGAACCCATTGATCATTCCAAAAAGATGTGTTCTGCCCATTACCAAGAAGAACTCGAGAATTATCCACCACTGGTTGCCAAACCCGAGCTACTCATTTCCACAGATTCGACCCAGTTCTAGAGACTCTAACATTAGGGAACAACTGGGTGCCCATTTTGTATTTATTTTTGAGAACTTTACACCACAAAGCTCCAGTATCCGTCATCAACCCATGAGCCACTTTCATAATCATAGCTTGGTTCATCCCTTTCAATTGTCTATTTCCTAGACCACCGTTCTGCTTCTTTCTACATAAGGTATCCCAAGAGACTAAATGAGTCTTCTTATAATCCACCGTATCTCCCCAAATGAAACTTGTAGTTTTGCGCTCCATGTCATCACAAGTAGTTTTAGGGATTATGGAAGTTTGCATCGGATATAAAGGGATTGTAGAAAGCACTGATTTTGCCAAAGTCACCATACCAGCAAGAGATAGATTCGATTGCTCCATGAATTTAATCTTCTGTTAATTCTATCCAACACATAGCTAAAAGACCTTTTCCCAATTCTTCTGTGATGAAACTGAATACCCAAGTATTGCCCTAAATCAGATGTTAAGGAAAATCCCATCTGATCACAGATTTCATGAGCACGACTGTGATGGATATTATTAGAAAAAAAGATCTTACTCTTGTTACTGCTTACCCTCTGACCCGAAGCTTTACAAAAGCAGTCCAAGACTTTCGAAATTAGACCATCTTGCTCAGTTGAAGCTTCTGCAAAAATTAACAAATCATCTGCAAAAAACATATGTGATATAGGGGGCCCATTTCTCTTAAGGACAATAGGCTTCCAACCTGCATGGGATATAGCAGCATTAATAAGATGACCAAGCCTCTCAATACATAATACAAAGAGATATGGAGAAAGAGGATCCCCCTGGCGAATTCCTCTCGTAGGATAAAATTCCTTAGTGGTTGACCCATTCCAAAGGATGTTCATAGAACAAGTCGAGACACAGCTC